CCTACCAAGCGTTGAGGCTAATTCCCCTACAACGGTATAATTTTTGAACGTTGTAGAGCCATGCTGCAGCTATATTATGGTTGTAGACATTATGGTTGTCTAAGTACTAACGTAAAATAGAAGCTTAATGACGCCGTGTTTCCTATGGTGAGTGTGGGAGAACCGGAGACATTTTTTACATCTTAGTCCACAGAGGTGACAACTCATTTGTCAGCTCCTTTTTATAATAATTTTTATAATATTTCTTTAATACTTGTTATAGGTTTTTTTTTATAAAATAAGGTTGACAAACGAGCACACAGTCCACCTGATTGTAAGTAGATGCTATGGCCCATAGACACCTACATTTATATTCAATTGAGAATCAAAACGCAGATGCGTTGTCACCCCTGAGGTCTAAAATGGAGTGCCTCGTTTCCACTAAAGAGGTTTTCCGGTTCTCTACACTCACCATACGAATCACAGTAACATTAAGCTACTATTTTACGCTGGTATTCTGTGAGAGCGTGGTCCTTCCTCGTTCGAGCCGACCCATTCGTGCTACAACCATAATTTAGCTGCAGCGTGGCTCTACCACGTATAAAGTTTTAACACCTATCTCTTTTTTATATTTTAAAAATAGTAATAGCCTTTCCCCAGTGATGTAAGCAGTGCATAATCGTGAATGTGAATTGGTTTGAGCGAAACACGACGAACCACGTAATAGGATTACTAGAATTATAGAAAGTAATTTTGGTACATTTTTAGTGTAACAGCAAACAAACAGACACGGTGATGGCACCAAGTAACATATTTCTGAATTATAGAAAGTAATATATTTTAGAACCGACTTCAAAAAAAGAGGAGGTTCTCAATTCGACTAGTTTTTTTAATGTGTGCTACCTCAGAATTTTTTTAATATAAATCTATAATATAATTCCATATAAATCTGACCAACATTTGTCCAGTGGTTTTTCAATTATCCTTAATAATACATGTTTAGTTGTACTTCGACTACATTGATGATGTACTCTTTTCTGCCGACTTCCAAAAAGGAGACGGTACCCAATTCGACTGTATGTTTTTCTTTTTTTTATGTGTGTAAAAAGTTATGTGGTAAACTTTTTACTGATTGAACCGATTTCGATGATTTTTTTTTATTTGAAAGCTGGTAAGTACTTCTCGTGTCCCATATGAATTTGATCAAGGTCAGACCAATAGTTTTTGAGTTATTCTTAATAACTTATATTGAAGTCGGTTGTACAAAATGTTTAATGTTACCACTTGTTTAGTGTATAATATATAATAACTTTTACTCGATGTGCAGTTATTATAATTTTATATTTAAACTAGCGATCCGCCCCAACTTCGTACGGGTAATTTCTGGATCTCGACAACAGCGCCACCTATCGATTCCAATTGTTAATCTTAATCACTCAAACATACATGAAAAATTCGTCAAAATTGATCCAGCCGTTCTCAATCCACGAGGAAGTTAAAAGTTAAAAATGTGCAAAAAATTAAAGAGCAAACCACTGACGTATTGTTTTGTGTATTAATACAATACTTTAGAAACTGATAAACTTTTATTGAAAAGTAACTTCTTAATTAAATTACTTTGTGTAACAAAAACTTTACCTCAGTGTTAACTAGCGACATCTGGTGAGCAGAAAATTTCAGGGCCCTCATTGATGATCTTTCATACATGCAGCAATTGATTTTTATTTATATATAGATTTTCATTCTTATTGCGAATATTACAAGTAACAAAATAACTCAACCGTATTTCGGGCAGTAGCTGAAAATAGGTACTTTTGCTTCCTTGTGGGAAATACGATAACACACAAAAACAACAGAACGACAGGTGAAAAACTCAGGAAAAGATTGTGTCTTTAGAAAAGAACGATTCGTAAAGTTTTAATGGACCTGTTTCACGGTGTTATTATATGCCCCATAACCAGTACTTTGTTTCACGGTAGCACCAAAGAAAATTTTAATTGCAACTTTTTACACGTTTTAACCACTTGGTTGTGAAAGAAAATTTCGCGAGGAAACCTGTACTCGTACGTCTGAATATTATAAGAGAGAAGAAGTGACATATTTATATATGTTTTGGTTTTTTAAGTATTTCTGAATAGTTGTGTTCTCTGTATGATGTATAAACAGCTAAGTAATAAAAATAAAAATATACATCGATCGGATTCACAGGAAGCAAAACCAAGTGTGTATTTTCTAATTAAAATGGAAAAATAGTGTTCCTGCTCTTACTCTCACAGAATACCAGCGTAAAATAGCAGTTTACTCGTAACGCTGCTATGATTCGTATGGTAAGTGTAGAGAACCGGAGACCCTTTTTACTGGAAAATAGGCATTCCATCTTAGTCCACAGGGGTGACAACGCGTCTGCATTTGATTCTTAATCAAGAATAGATGGAGATGTCTATGGGTCACAGAATCCACTTACCATCAGGTGGACTGTGTGCTCGTTTGTCACCCTATTTCTATAAAAAAGCAATGTAGGATAAGATAGTGATTGAAAGGGGTTACAAAAAAAATATTTCATAAAAAGTAAAGAGCTCCAATGAACTAAACATAATAAAATAATTTCCACATAACAGCTTCTGAAGAACTAAGTAGTGAACATAGTGTAGGATAACAGTAGTTAGAAGTTTTTAATTTACTTTTACATCCTGCTTACTAAGGGATAAAGTTATGGGCGAGAAATATCGATCCCAAATCTTCCCAGACTGGTGATGGGGCACTATCATTGTGACAGTCGATTGTCAGCAATTTTTCTGCCAAGTGTGGACTCAACTCTCAAGAAAGACACGTTTTCAGCTGTCTGTGCACTTCGATAGCTTAAGGAGAACAAACGCGTAATATGTTTTTACAAATCATATACGCCTGTCGTGTCGATAGTAAAGCACTATCTAATAACGCTTCGCGTTATGAGGCGTGCAAAATATCTTTTATATTGTAGTCTGTCTGGGTAGGTTCCTACTACTGTTTTCTGCTTCTGTTACTAAATAGCAGTGCTTGCACTGGTGTTCTCAATAGCGAGTGTTAGTATAATTATAGGTTATGTGGCATTCCATCTTAGTCCTCACAGGTGACAACGCATCTGAAGCCTTCTTTGTATAATAGCCTATATATAATAGGCTGCGGGTTATGGACTTTAGTAGCCATTTGCCATCAGGTACACTGTAATAAAAGTCACTGCAGTTTAATAACAAAAAACATCCTTATATCTACGCATATATGGGTTAAGGATACTATTAATTTGGCCAATCTTTAATATAAGTATCTTCAATTTTGTCGCCTATTACAAATCATATATTCGAATCTACGCTATTAGAGCAGTTAAGTGTTCCTAGAATGCTCAAAAGCTGCGGGCCGTCGCACTTATTTGGGTCACCGCCCACGCAAATTTAATTGTTATTCCAATGGCGGGTTGAGCCTCATTGCGGAATGATTTATATTAAATTGGTTGTAAATTGATATATTATATATCTGTAACTGTTCTTAAATAAACATTACATATTATAATGAATGCCGTATGAGGAATCTCAAGGCCGCACAGCGAGCCCTAATATGGAGCTATCATCATTTCATTTTATTTGTTTTGTTTATTGTTTTTTTTTTTAATTTAATTGTAATAATTATAATGATAGAATTCACTTAACATACATAAATAATTTAATTAGAAATGTTTGACATAACATACTTGGCTACACAGACATCTGCTACTATTGAGCAGTATAATGACTTGATATTGTATTTGGAATCAGTTCCAAGTAATTTAAATTAGAAAATGATACAATAGAGGTAATCTCTAGCAATTATAATAATTTAGAATGTAGCTTACAATTCGGTAATTGTATGACTCCACATAATAATGATAAAAATTGTTTATACTTGGTGTATCAAAATATACAAAGCATGATTGGAAAAGAGTTTTTAGAAAAGAGTTTGGAAAAAAGAAAAGAGAAAATTGAAGTATTCTTAAATAGTTGTTGCTATTTAAGAATACTTCAATTTTCTCTATTCATATTTCAAGTCTTACTGAACATTGGTTAAAAGCTTTAACAGTGGTAGAGCCACGCGGCAGCTTTTGCTGTCACACGGATGGGCCGGCTCGAACCGGGGTGGTACCACGACCTCACAGAAAACCAGCGTGAAGTAGAGGTTTACCTCTGCGTTTCGCTTGGTGAACGCAGGTGGCCGGAGGCCCTTTTTACTGGAAATGAGGCATTCCATCTTAGTCCTCACGGGTGACAACGCATCTACATTTTGATTTGTAATAGAGAATAGATGTAGATGTCTATGGGCCGCAGCAATCACTTACCGTCAGGTGGACTGTGTGCTCGTTTGTCGCCCTTTTCCTATATAAAAAAAGCTATTCTTAATGTTTAACTTCAGTAAGCAGCTGGTGGTTAGTCTTTCAATAGAGAAACGGTTTTAAGAGATGGTTCCTTAATATTAGATTATTATCCTTCCAGATTTTCACAAGTTTATAGCTGATCATAGGCCTCCCCCAAGGGATTCCACAAAACATTGTATAGGCATTACAGGACTTGTGCGCTGGCGACATTAGCTTGAACATCCTCCCGCGCCTTGAAACCTTGTTTCTATTTCTATTTTTATTAATTTTTTTTTTTAAATATAAATACGTAACCTCCACACTAGGATTTTCTCCTATATCGCGAGGGCACTTTACATACATAGATTTCACAAGGACAAACATCCAGACCCAGAACAATTATTTGTAAGCCATACAACTACTTGTTCCGTGCGGGCCTTAGCGCTGCAACTCATTGCTAAGCCACTGCGCCACGGAGGCATTTCAAGCTTTTATGAGTGGAAATATACGATTTACAGGTCTATGTAGGTTCCTTCTTGTGGTTTTGATATCAGCAACTCTGCATGCGCTCCATGTGATCCTGGATATACGGTTTCTATTCGTCTGGCGATCGTAATATATTGAAGCTCCATTGTATTATTATACCTTTATTTTTCTTTAGGCCAAACGCCTCAACGGCAACGGTGAGCTTGCTGCCATCAAGGTGATAAAGCTGGAGCCGGGTGATGACTTCGCCATCATCCAGCAAGAGATCCTCATGATGAAGGACTGCCGACATCCAAACATCGTCGCTTACTACGGGTCCTATTTAAGACGGGACAAGCTATGGATCAGCATGGAGTATTGCGGCGGTGGCAGCTTACAGGTTTGTATAACTTAGCCTTATAACTCAATAGATAAGTCCTTTTCCACTTAGTTGAGTTACACCTTATGATCTTTAATCAAGTAAACAGCTTACAGTTAATTTATGGTGGATTTATCTTATCCGATATGTTTGGCAGACTTGCTTGCACCAAGCACCAACTGTGCGTACTGTTGCGCACAAACACGCCACAAGCACAGCTGCACTCTCTACACCCTCACTCTCATAAGAGAGGTATATCTCGCCGATAGGTTTACGTGCTTTCCAATACACGTGGGTGAAATACCGCCAACTTCCTGACTCCTGGCTGCTACTGAGAATATCTTGACAAAAAGACGTCAATTACTGATTTTGTCTCGATCCAAGATTCGAACGAGGGACCACATGATAAGCAGTCGCGCTTACGACTACTCGACCAAACGCGATTGTCACTAGATGTTTTCCCGTGCGATTGACAGGGTTCGACAGTATCCGTACCCCACGTAACGTGCCCCAAGTTTTCGTCGCGCTGTAATTTGGTCAGGTGGACTTTAGCATCATTTTTGTATGTACGTTAGTTTCTATGTTTCAGGACATTTACCACGTGACTGGTCCACTGACAGAGTTGCAAATCGCCTACATGTGCCGCGAGACCCTCACCGGCCTCTCGTACCTTCACAGTATGGGCAAGATGCATAGGTAAGCACGTTCTTAGCCTTTTTTATACGCGGTAGAGCCAGAATGTAGCACAAATGGGTCGGTTCGATCGGGGTAGGTCCACGTCCTCACAGAATACTAGCGTAAAATAGCAGCTTAATGCTGCTGTGTCTCGTGTGGTGACTGTACAGAACCAGAGACCCTTTTTACTGGCAACTAGACAGACATTCCTCAGGGGTGACAACGACGTAGACGTAACGTAAGCATAAAATTGCAGCTCAAACTGCTGTGTTTCGTATGGTGAGTGTAGAGAATCTGAGACTATTTTTACCGGATACGAGGCATTTGTCCTTAGTCCTCGGGGGTGACAATTCATTTGAAATTTGATTCTTAATAGAGGATAGATGTAGATGTCTATGGGCCACGGCATCCACTTACCATCAAGGGGACTGTGTGCTCGTTTGTTACCCTTATCCTATAAAACATTCGACTCACGTCGTGTTTTTCTTAATCAGCACGTAAAAGTTCACTGTTGGCCAAACGCCTCTCCCGTCGTTTAGACCCCTCTGGTCTTGAAATTCAATATATCAGAAGCCATAGAGATTTATTTGACTTTCCGCAAAGACGATATTGGGTGATGTATTCTCTTTCACCGTCACCACAAGGCGTCCTTTTTACGGTTCCGTAACCAAAGGGTAACCAACGGGACCCTATTACGGAGCCTCCGCTGTCTGTCCGTGTGTCTGTCTGCGGGCTGACTGTCTCATGATCCGTAATAGGTAGACAGTTGAAATTTTAACAGAATGTGTATTTCTGTTGCCGCTATAACAATAAATAATAAACCTAGCAAGCTAACAGCATAGCAAAGTGGCGAAGCAATCAGCTTTGTAGCAGTTTCTAACGGTTGCCGTTGAGCAATCAGTTTCAAAATAGGAGGTTCAGATGCCTGGGTGATGAGTAATCGATTGCTGAAAACAGAATTTGAAAATTCGAAACCGTTCTCGAGATAATTGTGGGACAGACGGACAGACATCGTGAAATCAATAAGTGACTTCGCAAGCTTCGCCACTTAATAAAAATTAAAATACATTAAATAATAAAGGGGCTACTAGAAACCTGTGTGATGGTACGGAACACTAAAGGTCACAGCTCATTGGAGCCACCCGGCACCCGACACTCACCGCCTCGTCGCCAGGCGTCCACTCGTAGTCGACAGGTGGACCACGGGTGGACGCCGCGTTGTCACCAGTGAACCTCGCGTGGTCATCGAGTGAACCTCGCGTCGTCAACGAGTGGACCTCGCGTGATCAACGAGTAACCCTCGCGTGACCAACGAATTTCCGAGTAGTCTACCAGCGTTTGGTCCTAGGTGTGCACGTGTGTTCAGTGATGTCAAATTTTACAATTCGTGAATTGGCCCTCATAGCTGTCAAGTCTTGATGATGATGAAAATGATGAATGGGTTGGTGGAGAGCGCCGCGTAGCACTGGCGTGAACAGTGCGTTGCCAGCTCGCGCTTCACGCGAGGCAAGCATGCCAACAGCGATTTATCATCGAGTGGTCCACTCGCAGTCCGCACGTGGACCCCTCGCGAGCGAGGCGATCCGGTGATGGTACGGAGTTGATGTAGTGAGCGCAGGCCCATACAAATCCATACGAAGAATACGAACCGCTCGAGGCGAGGCGGTGAGGGTCGGGTGCCGGGTGGCTCAAATGAATTGTGACCTTAAATGAGCGAATCCAACTCGCACTTGGCCGGTTTTTACTAACCATTAAATCGAAAGCCTAGCTCGCAGTTCACCTGATGGTAAGTGGTCTCTTCCTTCACTAAGAATGTTCTTGGTTCCCCTTTATTTAAGTTGTCCCTTTTCTTCTTCTTCCTGCCCTTATCCAGTTATTTCGGGTTGGCATAGCACCAGCGCATACACAATACCTCGCTTAATAAATAGTCTGGATAATAAATTTAGAAGTGAACTTAATGAAGTTAACATGAAGTATGAATTAAAATGTTATTTCCTTAACAAATATTAGTTGTTATCCCCATTTTTGTAAATGTAGACGGAACAGCACGCAACACAAACCTACGTGGTTTTTCGCTGTGCCGCATAGCAATATTGTAACAATTTTTATCTCATAAAAAAAATGTCTTGTTCTTCCATTCTCCTCTATTAGCTGTCATCTTTTCACTCATTCCTTTCTTAATACATTCCTACATTTTCTCTTATATCTATCCACTTCTATAGTACACTCTTTCTCTAAGTTGTCCCTTATATCTTAAATATGACTATCCAACTACGGAAGCAGATTACGAAGCTTTTCCAACTACAGAGAGGAGTAAGACATGTACGTTGTATCCTCGAAACTATTCACTGCTGCATTGAACGACGTTTTCAAGCTACTGGACTGGAAAGGATACGGTATCAACAGCAATGGCGAATACGTCACTCACCTTCAATTTGCTGACGATATAGTCATTATGACAGAATCGCTGAAGGACCTTAGCTTTACGGTCAATGATCTCAATAATGTCTCCAAACGGATAGATAAGACAAAGATTATGTGTAACGTTTCATGGCACACCTATTTAGGTAGTAGGGATTTCGGTTTGGTAAGGTTTCTGGTCACACGACCAGTCTCGAACTCAAAAAGTTTAGTTTCGAGACTCCCGGGGCCCAAGACTGTGTGATGATTATTTAGGATGAGTGAGTCCAAACAACTAAAATGTCAGAGATATCAATTGTTTATTAAATAAAAAGGAATGATCCTGATGGACAAGACTATGACACCAATTAAGGACTCATAGAATGACTAACTTCCATACATAAACATATATAATACATAAACACTCACGCCTGTCACCCAGAGGGGTAGGCAGAGACTATGGACTTCCATTTGGCACGATCCTGACACACCTCTCTCGCCTCCTCCACATCCATATACCTGCGCATACACGCTCGTCGATTAAGGGTACTTTCAAGCTAGTTCCCTGAACAGAAAATTATAATTCTACGCTCACTTAATGCTATCACTTTTTTGTATTTTATTTTACATTCTACCCTCTTTCACGATAACACTAAATATTTCTTGCAGAGATATAAAGGGTGCTAACATTTTGCTTACGGAGTGCGGCGACGTGAAACTGGCGGATTTCGGCGTGTCGGCTCAGATAACGGCAACCATCAACAAGAGGAAGTCGTTCATCGGGACGCCATATTGGATGGCGCCTGAGGTTTGCAGTTTTTTTTTATAGAATTCGGATGACAAACTAGCATACAGTTCACCTGATGGTAAGTGGATTCTGTGGCCCATAGAAATCTAAATGAATCAAAATGCAGATGCCTTATCAACCATGAGAACATGGAATGCCTCGTTTGCAGTAAGAAAAGGGAGACCCTTTTTACTACACTCACCATTCGAAACATCGCATCATCAAGCCGCTGTTTTCCACTGGTATTCTGTGAGAGCGTAGTCTCACCACGGTCGAGCCTGTAGCATGGCTCTACCACGTTTTGCATAAGTTATTGCACAAGTTTCCTGGGTGGTATTAAGCTATTAATAGGTTGTAGGACTCGCTTTCTGCCCAAGAAGTTCGTCTGGGTAGATTCCATCCTATCTTCTACTGCTGCCAAGCAGAAGAGCGTAAACTGCTGCGTCACGGTCTGAAGGATATAGAGATACAGTATAAATGACAAGTTGAGAGGCATTCCGTTTTAGTCTCAAGGCCAATGCCCAACTGTGGAGTTTCAATGTCATTTTCTCGTGAACCGTGACATGTGGGAGATCTCTAAAGAAATTGCCAGTCTACTATTTTTTATAGGATAGGATAGGGTGACAAACGAGCATACAGAACACACCTGCTGGTAAGTGGTTGCTGCTGCCCATGGATATCTACATCTATCATCGTTTGCGAATTAAAATGCAGATGCGTTGTCACCCGTGAGAATTCGCACTGTTATTACCGAAGTCACGCACATTAATGCAGCCATGGTACGTAAGATATGCGCGTCACGTTGTACTCATGCACACATGAATCAAAGACTGGCGTCACTATGAACGGTGCAGTGTGTTAGCAACACGGTATCAGGGCCTATAAAATATCTGACTGCTGTGTTTCGTATGGTGAGTGTAGAGGACCGTCACCCGTGAGAACTAAGATGGAATGAATGCCTCTTTTCCAGTAACAAAGGTCTCCGGTTCTCTACATTCACCATACGAAACACAGCAGTGTTAAGCTATTGTTCCCCGGTCGAGTCGAACCATTCGTGTTACAACTATACTATTAATATACAGTATGGCTCTACCACGTATAAATGCACTAGAATCTTCTTGACAAAAGGTTTGACAAACTCAACTGCTGTTGTGTTATATTGTTTTACTCAGAAGACCCAATATTCCAACTTCTGACTGACAATGTTTATTCCTCATGGAATGCTATCGATTGCAATCCAATCTTTAAAAGGCCGTGAAGAAACATTTGGCCGATTTTAAGTTATATGCAAAAATTTAAAGTTATATATTTTGATAAATGACTATTTTTGATTTATTTTGATACACAAAATAGACATTTAAAGTTATCGATGTTTTGAAACGAAGTTCCTTATCGCACGGTACGAATTTGACGGATGGGGGCTATACGAGAAAAAGTGTAAGATTTTTCCGTCACGACCCCCTTTCTATAGTGCGAGCGTGATGGAATAATATCCATCTCCATCGCACTTTTTCTTATCTTGCCATGAAAGAAATATTACCTATTTTATTTTAAATGACGCTTCATTTTAATAGACACTAGTAATTAATTTATTTGTATTTGTTAATCAGTAATATAATACGTTTATCAATAATAATATACTCCGAAAGGAACTTCGTTCCAACCGAATGTTCCACGACACTCACGCATTTTTTTCTACCGACTTCAAAAAGGAGACGGTACTCAATTCGACTGTATGTTTTTTTTATGTGTGCTACCTTATAACTTTTTACTGGGTGAACCGATTTCGATGATTCATTTTTTATTTGAAAGCTGGTGCTTCACATGTGGTCCCATATTTGATCAAGGTCTGACCAATAGTTTGAGTTATTCTTTTTTTTTTACAATTTATATTGAAGTCGGTTTGTACAAATTTTTTAATTTTAAATTATTTTTAATAAAGTAAAGTTACAAACAAACTTAGAGTCCACCCGGTGCTAAGTGTCTAATGCTGTACATGGATACCTGCAACCAACTTCACACCAAGAAAGCTACAGATACCTTGTCACATCTAAGGATAAAGATGGAATGCCTTACAGCCTATAATAATTATACTTGATCTCTATTTTTTTTTATAGGATAAGGGGGACAAACGAGCACACAGTCCACCTGATGGTAAGTGGTTGCTGTGGCCCATAGATATCTACATCTATCCACGTTTGCGAATCAGAATGCAGATGCTTTGTCATCCGTGAGGACTAAGATGTAATGCCTCGTTTCCAGTAAAAAGGGTCTCCGGTTCTCTACACTCACCACACGAAACACAGCAGCATTAAGCTGCTATTTTACGCTGGTATTCTGTGAGAGCGTGGTCCTTCCCCGGGCGAGGCGACCCATTCGTGCTACAACTATACTATTAATATAGCTGCAGCGAGGCTCTACCACGTAAATATCCTTCATACTGGAACACAGATCATGTACTGCTATTTGAGGGTAACTTCTAGGCAGAAAAGGGAGTCTTAACACATAGTAGAGAATGAAGTTATCAATAAACTGAATCTCACATATTTTAGGTGGCCGCAGTGGAGAGGAAGGGTGGTTACAACCAGCTGTGTGATATCTGGGCCTGCGGGATAACGGCCATTGGTAAGATTTCGCTTCAGTTCATTGATTTATATATGTATGTATTTTATGATGTTTATTTATGTGGCGTAAATTCCAATTTTAATTACTGATTTTTAATATACTCAGCGGTGAAGAAAAACATATTGACAGGTATCCTTGCATGTCTCAGAAATAAATGAAAATATGCCAAAGACGTGTTAAGTGCGTCAACTTACAATGGGGCAGCACGGTGGACAGTTCCTTGGCCTAAAACCATCTCAGAAATGATAGGAGGCCAGTTGTGGGATGTGTACACTGACTGTAACTTTTGTGTGACAAAATATTCCGCGTTGTTTTCTAGTATGATGATATTAAAACCCACCGTAATAAGTCGGTGGCTAGAGCCTCGTTCGGAAGTGAGTAAGGATTTACTAAATTTACAAAACTCTTTCTTCACTAGGTCTGCTAGCATAATAAAATGAATTGTAATACCACTACAATATGATACCTTTAAATTATTATAAATGTCTAATGAAATGGTCACCGTTTTTCGTAAAAGAACAGGACAAAACAATGGATTGTAGTGATAGTCACTTTTGAAATGCGTATTGGAGTCTGACTGATGTAAAATAAACTTCAGTCCACTATATACACAGCCACTGTCACATAGATGGTAAGTGGCTATTGCAGTCTGTCGAGTGTCTTTTTTTTTCATGGGGAACGCCTACGCATACCCGTCTCGCGGAGGCAAGAACGGGTTATGTCAGACTCGCACTGACTAAAACCCCAATGGAGCCACGGGAACGCTTTCGCACACATCCGCGGCCCCACCAGCGCTGGCCGCCCCATGGCAGCCCCTCCTCATTCTCCTTCTCAGACAAGGCACGCCTTTCTTCACGGCTTCCAACTACACCTGCGTAACGCCCCCCCCCTTCCCCCCCCCTCCGATTCCGATAAGCGGAGGCTATCAGGAAAATCGAATGCTCGGTAGCACCTGCTTTCCCCACCCCAGCGGCGAATCTGGTCTTTGGCTCCGCCGCCAACCAAGTGTCGTTCAGGGAGAGTGGCGCCACTCCTCTCCCCCCACGGCCCCACCTCCACCGCATCAGCGGTGCGGCCCCGTCTGAGTCGCGGCGGATGGGGCGAGTGGCGCATCGCCATACTAACACTCCTCTTCCTCCGCGACTCCATCTCGGCTGCAGCCGCCCCGCCGACACACATCCAAGTAGGCTCGCCAAGCCCACTCAGAGTGGCCACCTTGGTCCGGCCTCTTTGTTCAGCGCGGGTGACCAAGCCACGGCTACTACCCCCCCCCCCCCCCCTGCACCACGACAAGGCAAGGTCTTCCTAATAACAACTAAAAATAAAAAAACTGTGTTGTCAACGAGCTTGCCAGGCCTAGCAACTATGGCAAATATGGAGAGTATTTGGCTATGAAGCAATCTATATGAGATGCCTGCGTTCAGTGTCTAGCAGTAAAATTTTAATAGAGTGCAATGATAATAGTCGTGTTCCAGTCAAAACGTCCTTTCCTGCATCGTAGCTATACCATGTACTAAACGTTAACATAGTGTTGATTTACTTTTGTACTTTTACAGAACTGGCAGAACTCCAACCGCCAATGTTCGAACTGCACCCAATGAGAGTGCTGTTCCTCATGACCAAATCCGGGTTCAAGCCTCCGCAACTGAAAGAGAGAGAGCGCTGGTCCCAGGTCTTCCACTCCTTTCTGAAGTTGGCGCTCACGAAAAATCCCAAGAAGAGGCCCACCGCTGATAAATTACTGCAGGTAGTTAGCAAATAAAAGTCAATTGAATTGTATCTTGCGTTACGTTTTACCTTTTGAAATTGAACGATTTCAATTAGGATATATGTAGTAGAACCAGAGTAACCACAACCCAATAGATTAGTAAAATAAAGTGGCAATAGGCCGGCCATATAGCTCGGAGAACAGGCAACCCGGACAAAAAAACCGCAGCCGCGTACTGGTAAACGAAGTGTAGGGCTGGTTCGACCTGGTAAGAGATGCAGAAAATCGATAGATGCAGTTGGCTCAGGACTATGCTTTGTGGCATTCCTTGGAGAAGGTTTATGTTCAACAGTGTACTTGTGATGATGATTTGATCTAATTGTCATATTTTGTCAATAGAAGAAATGCCATTCGCGCTTGGATATGTTTTCCAAAGATATACCCTCACCGGCTTTTCTGTCATATAATGATTAGTTTTGACAGTTTGTATGTAAACAATCCGTTTGATGATCTATGTAATGTATAATGCTATATTGTATACTGTATAATGATAAAAATGAATGTTTGGTTGAATAATTTATTTACTCTTTCCCTCCTGGACAATATTATAGAGAGTGTAAGACCATGTGTGCGTTAATCAAATATTGTTCATATTATCTATGATTTGTCTATGATTAGTGACGTAATTTGGCAACGTTTATGAATATATTTTTCACTCTGATTTTAATGGCCGACTGCACTGCACTCATTTTTGTAAGTCTTTACTTATTAAACTAATGAATGACTAAATTAATGAAGTGGATACACATTTTTCATTTTATTATCGTCGCCTCGCCTTACATTTTGCCCACCTCACTATCCATCATTCATTGTGATCAACAGTTCTTTGTGTTCTCAAATTTTATCTGGAAGAAATCGCTTCCACATCGATAAAGAAATACTAAGAAATACTATTGTACTGTATTTCTTTATATTACATTTTGTTTTTGGTTGAATGTGTATTGGTGTACAATAAAGAATATATTGATTGATTGATTGATTTATAATTTTGATGTCCACAGCACGCGTTCTTCCAACAAGACATGAGCAAGCGCTTAGCGATAGAACTTCTGCAGAAGTACTCCAATCCACCCAGCCACTGCAGCAGTCAGGAGTTAGATGAAGATGGGGTGAGTTATCTTGCGAATATCTACGTTTTAAGTGTATTCAAGCTTCAAGCAAATTTCTTAGGCAGGCTTCCTTCCTGCCTGAGAATCTGTTTTAGTAGAGAGAGTGGCCTTAATGGTGCGGATTGCAAATCGAACATTCGTCGGTTCAAATCCGTGATTCGACTTCAGTGGTGAACCGATTCAAATACAAGATTATCGTTACCATCATTATCATCAGTCTGTGGAAGTCCACTGCTGGACATAGGTCTGTCCCGTTGTAGGGGGAATTTGTCTTAATCGTTACTCTTGGCGAGCTGACTGACGACTGAAGTTCCAGAACTGAGCACCCTTAAAGCTGCTTCTCCTCACTGGTCTGGGTATTTTATGTGTGGCGTAGATGAGATACTTGCTGATGTATTCAAAGCCTTAGCTTTTAAATATAGCTCTAATGCGTTTACTTTGTAACGGATTGAATAATTCTGTCATTATTAAAATAATAAAATAGCAGCACCTTGTAATAGTTTGTTTGTGTTTAATAGTTGCTTTAACTTTGACGATGTGTGTCGTCTCTCATTCATGTTTATACTTAATAATATAATATATAATCGTTTTTATGGAAGTTTTGGCGGGAACTTGACCACGACGGATTGCTGCTCCTGTATTATTGTTTAAATAATGGTTTGAAGTGGACTTTGCTATGTAAAAGTGGTGCGATTTTGTGTGTTAAGTGTCTGCGCATGTGAACTATTAGTGGAAACTGTGAAACAAGTGCGCTGATTTTTTTTTTATCGGATAAGGGTGACAAACGAGCACACAGTCCACCTGATGGTAAGTGGTTGCTGTGGCCCATAGACATCTACATTTATCCTCGATTACGAATCAAAATGCAGATGCGTTGTCACCCGTGAGGACTAAGATGGAATGCCTCGTTTCCAGTAAAAAGGGTCTCCCGTTCTCTACATTACATTTATAGGTTTGTATATGTATGTGTATAATCTTAAGAAAACTGTGTTTTACTTTCATAATAACAGACAGATAACAAGAAAGACTTGTTTGTATACTACACTAGAGGAGCACTGCGGTACTAATACATTGCGCACTAATTTACGGTCAATTCTCAGTAACTTCTTTAATCGATCGACTGCGAGCGGGCGAGAAGACCAGTTCTTTGTTTTGTAAACCGCGAACATTGCTTTCGACAATCCTAACACTGATTTCGTTTAACTGGACTAAGAAAACGCTGCCATTATATATGTGCGCACGTTGTAGACGTGAATTTTCACGTGGTAGAGCCATGCTGCAGCTATATTAGTGGTATAGTTTTAGCGCGAATGGGTCGACTCGATCGGGGAAGTATCACGCTCTCACAGAATACCAGCGTATAATAGCAGTTTAATGCTGCTATGTTTCGTATGGTGAGTGTAGAGAACCGGAGACCCTTTTTACTGAAAACGAGGCATTCCGTCTTAGTCCTCAGGAGTGACAATGCATCTGCATTTTGATTCTTAATTGAGGATAAATGTAGATGTCTATGGGCCACAGCATCCACTTACCATCAGGTTGACTGTGTGCTCATTTTTCCACATTTATTTTATAAAAAAGAAACTCCCAGCCATATTCTTAACACATATCAGACATAAATTGTAACTTTCTTGTATTTAAACAACATTCCAGGCTTTATCGAACGTACCGCAACGCATCGCGTCCAAGCACACGGGTCGTGGCCGACGACTCATGGAGCCGGTCGTGTCGGTGTCGTCGCGTCCCCGCAGCCTGGCCGAGAGGGCTCCTCTCAAGCCGCTCAAGCCAAACCTGTGCCGGCCTGCTTCACTGCTCGACGACACGACACCGACACGACTGGGCGACGCGACGGACACGCGACGACTGTATGACGACTCGCCCGTTGTCGACCTGGACGCGGACGACGAGCTGGGCTTGCGCGTGATCAACTTCAGTGCAGACGTGAGCAGGAGCTGCGACGGCGACACCGTCAAACGGAACCGTGAGTTGATTGCATTGTAGGATGCCGACTTTTTTTGCAACCAGGGCGGCGCACCTACGAGTGGAATACTTGACAGATTTCATAACGAGAAAAGTGTAAAGTTTTTTTTTTTCAGAAATATCAAGAAATATTAGTTATATTTATAGATTAGTAATGGATACACCAAACTACGGATGTCCCTGAAATTAGAAAAATTAAAAAAGTTGAAGATGTATTAAAAATGAACGAACACAACACTGAGCATATAGCAACACGGGCCACCAGCGAACTGGAGGGGAGTAGCCGTAGCATTTTTCCCTGAAACAGAACTGTCTGTCATTTTTGCGGGGGGACAATCTGCGCACACAAAAACAATCGTCTGTCATTACGAAATTCACACATAACAATTAAAACAATAAACTAACGATTTCTTACACACACATACATTATGAAAGTATCGCTCGACAGCGACAACTCAAATGCAGACTCGGATCTGTCGCTCGACCGATCTGCATATTATATGAAGGCGAGCGACCTGTATCGGTAAACAAATCCGAAACAATACGACCGTTGTTATTGTAATTCTAAAGTTTAAAAAGAGGTAAATAACAATGCTGTCAAAAACATGTAAAATAACCAAGTCTCGCAACTCAGTTCTACCGTAAAAAGTTGTGAGATCCATGTAATACCAAGTCGGTTAATTTATTCAGTCCCTACTTAAGGGTCCTTCTGTCTTAATTTATTACGTAATTAACTAACTTAACAACATATTATAGTGACCACATCAATACTAAAAATCTTTTATATTTTAAATATAAATAGAGAGATTTTATATGTATGTTACGCGATATTTTTATTTAATAGGTTATACTTCAAGCGTGGTTCCATATAAATTTGAAAATAATTTCACTACTAAGGGTAGCAAATAAATAACTTCTTTTTAGCAATTTGATGGCGGTTTTTGCTAAGTTATAATTATTGCAGCAAAAATCTGAACGATTCGGCATTATTGTAAGACGTCTATTCAGCCGCGCAACTAGATTTAGTTTAATGAGCAGTGTGGGTGTAACTAGTTTTATTGTACGCACAGGATCACGTACACTTATACTTAGAAAGAGTGAGAGTATGTAGACTTTGTGAGAGGGGAACGATTGCGTGTGACAACTCCCCTCCGGTGCGCCAGTGGCCCGTGTTGCTCTATGGCACCGAGGCATTGTTTTGTGTATATATACAATCTGTTCGCTTAGATACGGTCGCCTTTTATTGCGCCGCCTTGCCACGTGCCGCATTTTGTCACTCACACACGCGCACACTCACGCTCACGCTAACACTCACACACACTCACGCTCACTCTCTCTCTCTCTCTCACACACGCACACATACACACACACACACACACACCTACATTAGATCATAGGTAATCTTGCTTGGCTTATCTCAATATTTAATATCATTAGGAAGAGCGGGGCCTCCTGACACAGGTATTCTTTTATACTTACTAGGAGGCTCCAATTACTTTATTATTTAGTATGCCTTGAGAAAGAAAGAAATAAATTTTAATTTAATCTTCATTTAATATAGTTATTATAGTCTTAAGAAACAACGATTTTTTTAAGCACTACGTGTTCAGTGATGTGTGATTTCTTGCCACGGAGAAGATCGACAACTTTGTTAATATATCAAGCAACGCGGACTAAGTCGCGGGTATCAGTTAGTTTCTAATATAAGTAACTTTTTTACCTTCAGAATTCCACCGACAAACGAGCGACGACTGGAGTGTAGCGTCTCTTATGAGTTGTCCAAAACACAACCCTCTATCTCAGGACCTGCAAGATCTCACCACCGACATTTTGCCAACGAGCGAAAAGTAAGTACCGTCCCCGTTTTTATTATCTGTCGCTTTTCATCTATTTTTATTTTCTTTTTTTTTTGTATATATTTTTAAATTATTTATTTTATAGCAAGTGGTGTCGGGTGATCACGGGTGATGATATTATGAGAATGAGTCTGAGGTATTTTTTTTAAATTAAATAATTATTCTTCGATTTTTTTTAATATTCTTTATTTTTTTTGTTAACATTGAATTTGGTTTGCGGTTTTCTTTTGATTTCTAACATTGTTTATAATGAGGGTACTTTGTCTATTTGTACGTTTCGTTTCTGTGTGGCAGTTGCGAGCAATTTTTTCAACTTTGTTCCATGTATAAATTTTCTACTTTTTTGTGCCTCTAAAAAATTTATTGCAAGTCTCTTTTCAAAATTTCGAAGAAATCAAAATATTTTTCCTATTAATATTTAAAAAATAATTAATAGGTATATAGTTATCCAATCTGATTTAAAAAACGAAATGTCGGTTTCAGTAAATACTAAACATGTTTCGCGTTTGAATTATGGTTTCAAATGAGACTCTTCCCATAAATAAATGAAATTAAATTTAAATTATATCAAATAATGTCTATATGTAAATCAGTCATAAATAAAATAACTATAAATTTAATATATACAAAATCAAATTGTACAAAATTAATTAAATGAGACTTAATCAACTAATAAGCATAAAATAATGGTTAGTACGTTTAGCGGACTCTGAGTGCCAAATGTTTAGTTTCTCTCGAAGTAAATTTGTTTTTATAGAATAAGGGTGACAAACGAGCACACGGTCCACCTGATGGTAAGTGGATTCTGCAGCCCATACACCAAAACGATCCAGAAAATCAAAATGCAGATAGATATGTTGTCATCCCTGAGGACTAAGATCTCTCAACAGTGGTAGAGCCAAGCGGTAGCTTTTGCTGTCGCACGGATGGGCCAGCTCAAACCGGGGTGGTACCACGACCTCACAGAATACCAGCGTGAAGTAGAGGCTTACCTCTGCGTTGCGCTTGGTGAGTGCAGGTGGCCGGAGGCCCAATTCCCCCCCTCCTCCATCAACATGGTAGTGGAATTAAATAAAAGACTACCCCAGGAGGGTACCAGCACCCCTGAAAATCCCTCGCTGAGCATCCACGACCAAACTACTTCACTCCTGAGCGTGGGTGCTCAGGCTGCCCTGCCTATTCTGGGGGGGGGGGGGCAAAATTCCGCTTGCGACTAATGCTGCTCGGGGCAAGCGGAGCAATACAACCAAGGCGACCCCTGTCACGCTATCCGTGAATTTATGCAACATCCGGGGACTTCATTACAACCTTAACGCTGTCCATTACCATCTAGAGACGGCGAAGCCAGCCTTGCTCTTTTTAACCGAGACTCAGGTGTCCTCTCCGGCTGATACTTCATATCTCTCCTACCCGGGGTACAAATTGGAACACTCCTTTGTGCTCCGGGCTGGAGTTGAGTATACGTCAGAGAGGACATCTGTTTTCGACGCATCGGCAGCCTTGAAGGTACGGACCTGTCCATCCTATGGCTGCGCGTAGACAGCAACGACCATCCCCGCGTCTACGGGTGCCTCTATAGGTCCCATAGCGGTAATGCCGAAACAGACCGACTCATCGACCACGTCGAAATGGCTGCAGACTCCGTGCTACAACAGGTACCATCCGCAGAGATCGTGATACTCGGTGATTTCAACGCCCACCACGCTGAATGGCTTAGTTCTCGTTTAACCGATCATGCGGGTAGATCTGTCTATGACTTTGCTTTGGCATATGGTCTACCACAACTGGTTACTTCGCCTACGCGGATCCCAGATGTGGAAGACCATGTACCTTCCCTGTTGGACCTTCTGCTGACCTGTCATCCGGACGGATATCAGGTTTCCGTCGATGACCCTCTGGGCTCTTCGGACCATTGTCTGATCCGGAGTACGGTGCCACTCACGCTCCAATCGCAGTTGTGATCTGCAGCTTGCCGCCGTGTTTGGCACTATATGTCAGCTGATTGGGACGGGATGCGGTCTTTATTTGCATCCTACCCTTGGGGGCGGGTTTGCTTCTCGCCGGAAGATCCTAGTGTTGCTGCCGATTCTGTTGCTGATGTGGTACTTCAGGGTATGGAACTTTTTATTCCATCCTCTGTGGTGCCCATCGGAGGCAGATCCTAGCCATGGTTTGGTCGCTCCTGTAAAATAGCATCACGCTATAAGCAGAAGTGCTACCGGGCCTGGGCTGACGCATCAACGTCTCGGGATGTAAACACCAGCGCACTTAAAAAGAAGTATAATTCCGCCTCCAGGTTCTTCAAAAGCGTCATTGCCAAGGCAAGGTCGGAGCACATCGGCAGAATTGGCGAGAAGCTAGTTCGCCTTCCTTCGGGAACCCGTGCATTCGGGTCTTTCGCCAAGGCTGTCCAAGGTTACTTCTGTCAGACATCTCTTCCATCTCTGCACAGAGAGGATGACTCACTGGCCCATGCCGCAAAGGATAAAGCCGATCTGTTGAGCTCCCTTTTTGCGTCCAACTCGACTCTAGATGACGGGGGGAACACACCGCCGACCATCCCGCGGTGTGAGTGCTCCATGCCGGATGTGCGGTTTACTCAGCGCTCGGTTCGCAAAGCACTCTTCTCCCTGGACGTCAGCAAGTCGAGTGGGCCTGATGGAGTCCCTCCCATTGTGCTGAAGACGTGTGCTCCGGAGTTGGCACCGGTTTTAACGCGTCTTTTCCGGTACTCCTACTCCCAAGGCGTAGTCCCGAATTCATGGAAGACAGCTTTGGTCCATCCGATCCCTAAAAAAGGCGACCGCTCAGACCCGTCCAACTACAGGCCTATCGCCATCACCTCCTTGTTCTCCAAAATAATGGAATCCATTATAAACTGCCAGCTCATGAGGTACCTTGAGGATCACCAGCTGATTAGTGACCGCCAGTACGGTTTTCGTCAGGGTCGATCAGCTGGTGATCTTCTAGTCTATCTGACTCATAGATGGGCGGAGGCAGTAGAGTCCAAGGGGGAGGCATTGGCCGTTAGTTTTGACATAGCGAAGGCCTTCGATCGGGTCTGGCACAAAGCGCTTCTTTCGAAGCTTCCTTCCTATGGGCTTCCCGAGAAATTGTGCAAATGGATCACCAGTTTCCTTGCTGATCGGAGCATCAAGGTCGTAATAGACGGTGCATGCTCTGATTTCAAGCCTATCAACGCTGGTGTTCCACAAGGCTGCGTGCTATCACCAACGCTGTTTCTCCTGCATATCAATGATATGTTGCTAACTGGTAGCATTCATTGCTATGCAGACGAAATCACTGGTGATGCCTTATATACCGGCCGTGCCAATATTTCTCGGGAAAACGTCGCCAAGTACCGGGACAAACTTGTGTCTGAAGTCGAGTCTTTGCTTAACAAAGTCTCGGATTGGGGCCGACTAAATCTAGTCCAGTTCAATCCCCAGAAGTCACATGTTTGCGCGTTTACCGCTAAAAAGAACCCCTTTGTCGTATCTCCTCAGTTTCAAGGCACTCCCCTTGCTGCCTCAGCTAGTATCGGAATCCTTGGCGTCGACATATCGAATAATGTGCAGTTTCGTGGTCACTTGGAAGGGAAGGCCAAATTGGCCTCTAAAAAGTTTGGCGTGCTCAGCAGAGCGGGACAGTATTTCATGCCGGCACATCGCTTGCAACTTTACAAAGCGCAAGTTCGGCCCCACATGGAATACTATTCTCATCTCTGGGCCTGGGCACCCCAGTGCCAGCTCCTTCCACTTGACCGCATCCAGCGCAGAGCGGTTCGAAGCGTCGACGACCGAGTTCTTTCTGATCGGCTCGATACACTGGCACTGCGTAGAGATGTTGCATCTCTTTGCATATTTTATCACGGGGAGTGCTCTGAGGAATTGTTCGGACTAATCCCAGCCGCTCAATTTCACCATCGCACATAGCGACAAAACTCGCGTTACCATCCATACCATCTGGATGATTGGCGGTCCACCACTGTGCGATTTAGAAGAAATTTTCACCCTCGCACAACTTCCTTGTGGAATCAATTACCACCAGCGAATTTTCCGGACCGATACGACTTAGGAACCTTCAAGAAAAGAGCTTACACCTTTCTAGCAGTAAAAATGGCCTCCGGTTCTCGAAACTCACCATACAAAACACAGCAGTATTAATTTGCTATTTCGCGCTGGTATTCTGTGAGAGTGTGGTCCTACCCCAGTCAAGCCGACCGATTGTGCTACATCCATAATATAGCTGCAGCGTGGCGTGCATAAAAATGCGAGAACACGCGTATAATATTAAAATAAGAATCCAAGGTTTTTGTAATTATTGACTACCTGGTTCCATTATATTATGAATGTTTCTATGTGTTAATACTAATGACTATATATTTCATGCTATAGAACTAACATCCCTGGCTTTTGGTACCTTATCGAAAAATAAAATTTCAGTAAAGAATCTGCATGAAACTTAGGGTTTTTTGCCTAATGCTGTAAAAGAATACTTTTGCATCTTTTAACAGTATAACCCTTACTGGACATACTACTACGTATGTTTCTGTAGAAAATGACCCGCACCAATGAAGAAAGAACAAACAACGGCTTGTATTGTTCCTTATGGTAGGACGGTCATCAAAAAAGTTTCTTTATAAATTTGTTAACATTCAAAGAAATAGTTATCTCTTTTAACGGGACAATCGATTTTTCCTTTGTTTACGATTGGATTATATTGATGTTTTATTTTTAATTAACCTTTTCGAGACTTGCAATAATTCCGAGGGCGTTTTAATAGTGTGTTTGGCGATGTTCTTGCGTGTCAAGAGAATGCACTTTCGATCTTAGCATAGATCACGCCGGAAGTGTCCCGTTATTTGCATGGATAGCTTAAAGTGGCGCCGAGTTAGCTTAGTAGAGACACAATCCATACACATCGTAAGACATACACAACATAAATACAGTATTAATGGTTTAAATCTACCTAAACCAAAGTTTAAGATTTATTTTTAAAAATGCTCAAAATTAATCTCGATCTTATAATATTATAACGCTATTGCAAGGTGTGGTTAAAGTTGATCACTAACCTCAAAATGTACTCTATGGAACCTCAAATGTTAATCGACTGTAAGGCAAATATACTTCGGGAATATTTAAGTTGTTAAAAAGATGCTAACCATTTATTTATACACCTTACCAGGGCAACTTCATTAGCCTCAAATAGGCCGACTACTAGACATTGACGATGTCTATAGATTTTTTTTTATAGAAGCAAACGTGACAAAAATACAGTCTAATAGTGAATGGAGGCAATGGCCCATAGACACCTACATCTTTCCTCGGTTAAGAAATGTATCCTCGATTGAAAATAAAATGTATATCCAATATCTCCCTTAAGATGGTGAGGTATGCTTTGTTACAAGTGAAAAGGGTCTTAGTCAAAAAGGTGAAAATGTTTTTGAGATGTAAATTTTTTATTAAATTTCCTCTTTTTTCATTGTCCTTCCTTTTTTTCTCGTTTATAATACTCCTATATAAGAGGAAAGTGGAAAGCAGATCGCTCAGCCTAATAATACCACGAGCACCTTGGAAATCATCTCACCGCCACCACTGAAATGTTTTACTACAAAAACATCTCAAGGAAATCAGCATATTTGAGGAATGTATGAAAAATTAGTTTGAAAACATGTAAAGTCCATCAACACGTACTAGAGTAGCTTGGCGGTAACTTCCCGCTCCATTACCTCCTCCTTTGCCAAGCAGTTGGATGTTTATTTGCTCTTGCTTTATGTTTAAATAATATAGGTAACAGATGAGCCTCGAATATATTAAATTTGTGTTTAAATATATTTGTATACAGGATGCTATGTTATGCTAAAAACGTTCAATTAAAGAAAAGTATATTTAAAAGTGTGGATACACTTTTAAATATACTTTTCATCATTTTAATGTTTTTTATAGTGTTCTTATTTATAATGCATTATTAGTACAGACACTGACAACACAGTAATATTTACGTCAACATGACACATGTCAAAAAATTTGGCGCTATTATTTATGTCAACACGGTAAGGTTGCAAAATGGCGTGATGGAATGATTAAAGGCTAAGCTTTAGTATACTTTTGTCTGTCTGTCGTTACATTGCACTGACTATGGCCTAAAGTTGTGGAACGAAAGTTTTTTTTTTAATGACTGATTGATATAACATATAATACTCTTCTAAAACCAAGTCAAAACCATGCTCACCATATTTTAAGAAAGCCAACTATCGCACACATATGCATCTAAAATCATTTGCAACTAACACAGTGGTTATAGGTACTTATGTGTTCGTCCGGCATTGAACTTTTACGGGCTGTTACAGAAATAGAGAAGGCAGATGTGTACGCGAGTCAAGAAGTTGAGCAAAGTTTTGGAATCACTTGAAATGTGCGTTCCTTTCTTTGTTTGTATGAGATAATAATATAAAATATCAACATTTTGTTAATAAAATCTTTTTATAAAATAACAAATAAATTATTGCACACCTAGAAGCGAGAAAACTGCGAGAGTGATGTCGACTTGACACGGGTGCACTATCCGTTCTCATTAACCGTCTCATGTGCCCGACCGCTTTTATATTTTTACGCTTCAAGTGTCAGGGTCCGTTTTGGAGACCGCGCGATATCGGTAGGCGCTAATGTAAACAATATATAAAACTTATATGCCAGCTATATATAAAACTTATACGCATCGATACGTTATGAATTGAGATATTTGATTCTTTATAAATATTTAATTCTATTTTTATAATACGGTCAATCTCATATCAGAATTGTGTGACATAATTTTGCCGGTTTCTTGTACATAAAGTGTAAGGATTATGAAATTAAGCCATTACATAAAACGGTATTTGTTTTATTTACTTAACAATACAACATTAATGTATATATATAATGTATATATATATATATATATATATATATATATATATATATATATATACAATATCAAAAATGATTAAATAATCACACCCCATCAATACATTTTTTTCACACAACAAACTTTTTAATATCTACCTCCTTTTACGCGGCAAAATAAAAACAAGTTAAAACAATCGAAAATGTTCAATTCGAATATGTCGTTGAAATATTAAAACAGCGTTTAATCTTTGAACAGTGTTGATTAAAGACAAGGCGTGTTTAATTGAGAAATGGGCACACGGGGTCGGCTGACAGACGGGCATGCATGCGCTGTCAACCTGCTGCGAATGTCATGACACTTGAGGGGTTAAATATATCATGTAAAAGAGATCGTTAATATCTGTTCTATTTTTGCCTTTTTTTACCCGACTGCCCCAGAAGTATGTCTATTTCTTTGGCGGCTGACATGGGGTGTCGTCAGATTCGTCTTAATAATGGAAGTGACATAGGGTATAATTTTTTTCTCTTTTAAGGAAATTTGTACGCCGTCGGGTTTTTTAAAATTACTGTTTTCACCATTGGGCTTGTTTTCTTAAAGCATTACTTATAACTGCTATATTTGCCTCCGTTCATGCTCAAATTTCATTTTGTAAATATATATTTATTCTAAGGACTTAATATTTTCTTTCTTCTTTTGTTACTCGAAAGAGTCGTAAAGCACGTAGTTACACAACTTTAGACCATACGGCCCATTAACATAAAGTACATAACGGCGTACGGCCGTCACATGTCTGTAAGTTGTCTCTCTTGTTTTAGGAGCCTCTTGCAATATATTGACGAAGAGTTGATGCTCAGGTAAACGGAGAGGTTTTACACTGCATGCGTTCAGATTCCATTTTGTGTGTAGATAGTTTTGTAGAGTACGCTGTTCGAAATAAGTTCCATGGTAGATAATATTTCTAAGAAATATTGGCATTTTAGAACATTTTGTGACTGATCAAAAAAGTACAAAAAATTATTAAATAAACCTGCCTCTATAAGAACTGTTTTCCTAGTACATTTTCCAGTATATCTGTTACAGTACAGTACAGCGATTAGTAAAAATATTTGACATGTAGTGACATCAAATAATATATATGTATAAGTGTTGCTAGATATATAGTATTCCTTTAGCTAAAATTTAAACGAGTATATATATATATATGTATATAGTTTGTCTTGCTTTAGCTTATAGATAGACCTATTTGAAAAAAAGGGATAGCGATGGAAAAGGTGCAACAGCTGTATATTGTTGAATTACTGGCTTTTATTTCGAACAGCTCTAACTTAAATTAAAATGATCATCCCTTATTGTAAAAGAATTGTGACTTCTAATTATATCAAACGATTTGTAAATAATGATTTTCAAAATGAGACGACTTGGCTTTAACGTAGCTATGAGTGATATACGGGGGCACTGCCGACTTTGCTTGCTGCTTTATGGACAGGTTAATTGCGTCTAACCTTCCGACCTTGCTACTCTTCCCACTCGTGGTAGCGTAGACACGTTTAAAGTTTTAACCATTTTATTATTAGTTTAAAACCGTAAATATTCAAGCGCAAAATGTTGGTTTTAACGCAAATTAGTTTCGTCTCATTCATTCACTACAGCCCATTAAAAGTCCACTGCTGAACAAAAGCCCCACGCATTATTTTATAGGGGGGGGGGGGGGTATTTGCCATAGTTGCCACGCTTGGCAGAGGCGTGTTGGAAACCGCAGTTTTATTTTGTTATTCGTTCATTCATTACAGCCTAGCAAAGTCCACTGCTGAACATAAGCCTCCCGCATAGATTGTCTCATAGGGTTCCCCCCCCCCCCCCAGGCAATCTATGGTATGGTTATTTATCATAGTTACTTATAGTAACAGGCGGATTGGTAACCGCAGTTTGTTATTATTTTCTTGTGACTTGTTAAGCAGGAAGATGATAATGCCCATTTGCCCTGTCATCTCTAACGTCACCCACGGGATAATATGGGGCAATAGATATTCTTACGTTGCGGTCACGGCCAATTCTAGTTTTGTCAATCGTGTGTGATTAAAAACTAAGTAGAAATATGCAAAGATTGCATTCAGTCTGCAGATTATTAAAAAAAACCATAATTAACAACTTCTTAAATGTAATTAGAGGTCATAATATTGTTCAAAATAGCTTCAGTAGTGCTGCTTGCTTATATATGAAAAGTAAACTGTTAAAATAATGTAAATTAATGTTACAATACTTAAATTTATCCCTTAGCATGATAATTATGATTAAGAATTCTGCTGTTACTTAAAAAAAATGTTCTTTATTCCAAATTAATTAAAATAAAAAATTAACCAATCTTAAATATTTTTTAAAGATTTATTTGTTTTACCTTCGCAATAAATATAATTTTCCCCACCAGCACCACTTGTTATATGACATGTGACAATACGATATTAAAAATATAAATAATCACATACCATTTTGTGTCTAACAGCACTCCCCGAGCTTCAAAAACCTAACTGCACTGCATTCCCAAACAGCTTACTAACCCCGGAAAAACTACCAAATTGGTAACATTACTCTTTCCACAGGGCAACACTACCGTTGACAGCTGAAACGGCGAACATGACACAGGGTAGTTCTGCGCTATCAATACACGATCAACATTTGTCGCAATGCATTCAGTTAAAGCAGAACTTTTTGAATAGCTCCACAACCAATATATACCAAAGTCTGACGTCGAATTTCCAAAGCCCCATCGGAGCATCACGTGTTTCGATAGACGATCCGTTGTGTAGAAAAATGGGCGACACGGATATAATGTACGCGGACCAGCCAGAAAGCGAGGTTGCGTTAGAATCTACACAAGTTAGGAACGCAAATTGTGAGTGCGGTCTTTGCCCAAAACCGGAGCCGAGGGATAACAACACTTTAAGCGATTTACAACGCTCCGTCGCTTCGAAGTGCTCGTGTGACGCTTGCAACTCAAACGGCGATATACTCAGCTACTACAGGAACTGTTCGAATCAGAATCAGGAATCGGGGATCGTCTACTGTGATACGTGTAAAAAGCAAAAGATCTCGGTTTCAAACTTTAGGGCTCTGCAAATCGCGAACCGTTTGCGGATATCAGACACGGACAAGGTCGAAAATGGAGGGACTTCCGACGAGGACTTGTGTAGGAGAATCGATATGAGTTTAAATATGGAGGAAAAGTCCTATGAACATAGGAAAAGACACAATAGGCACAACTCTGACACCGTGACAGCGGGTATAGACTTAAGTCAATTTTGTCAATGCGAGTTGGAGAAGAGAAAAACGTCTTCCGTAGATGAAATATTCAAGATGGTGGATGAAGTAAGAGATGGGAAGGAGTTGACGGTGGATGATACTAAAAGCACTCAAAGGCAAAGAAGTCTGTCGGACAGTCAGAGGGACAAAGCCAAAGTAGACGCTGAAGGTGAGCAATTTATTTTATTTATTGAACCTAATATACTCTTTAATGTATATAAGTTGGTTAAATGTCTGAGGCAGTATCTACCAGTCGATCTTAGAGTAGTGCAGAGATAAAAGAGGTAAGTGTAAAAGAAGTACAGAAAGTCCTTAAACATACATATCGATGGTTTAGAAGACAAACGTGCTAAATGCAAAATTTTTTGGTTTACATTTTTTATGCCAATGATTCTAAATAATAGGTCGCATCTTCTGCAATTATCGGAAAGCCATAATTCCATATATTTCGGTCTAAACCGAACGTGTACATTTGTAATAAGTAACGTGAGGCACGAGACAAAAGAATCAGAGTCGCTTAATTGACACCTAAAAGCTAAAATTAGTACCTAATTTACATGGCAAATTAGGTTGAATGTTATAAAAATAAATTTTATATATATATTTAGTTTAATTTCCAATAATTACATAATAATTGAAAATCATATGCTGTACACAAATGCGCTAAGTGAACAACTGAATAACAAAATAATGATCAAAAGTATTAAGTGAATGTAATTTTTCATCCTACTGAGTACCTACTCGTATTTCCCTGTACTTTTTATAGTTGAGAACAATTCTTTAGAATTAATACTATAACAGATAAATACCTAACTAATAGCAGAAGTGTAAGATACGTTACACTACTCAGCTATACGAACTAACGGGTCAAACTTTAAAATGTATATAAACTGCTCTTTTGAAAAATTACAATCTCTGTAATTAATACATTTGTCTTCTAGACCATCGATATAATTGGATACATATTGTTACGAGCTTCGGGTTCGAGACAATTAAAAACTGCCGACTGAATTACCAAAATTGACACTTTAATTACACAACACTAATTACAATCAAAAATCACACTAATAATAAAACACAGTTCGCCGTTATTTCGCTTCGAAGTATTCTCTTGTATCGCCAATTCAATACTGCCCCGGTCGTGGTCTATACCGGTCTTATATAGGGCCTCAGATAGTTTCCAGAACCTTCTACTGTAGCGACATCTAGAATGTTCGAGTACATATCGGTCCCGAAATTTCTGGAAGGATCTCGACTCTCCTAGTTCTGCTACTCGACACTAGAGGGCGCTAGTGTGACTAGTGTTGCCATGTACAAGACAATAATAGTGGCGCGTAACACTGCCCCCTCCTAAGACATGCTCGTCCCGAGCATTATTGGCCCCATAATAACGCGCCAGTCGATCCACATGGACAATCTTAGGAGTACCTCTGGCACCTTTCTGTATCCGGTAGGTTACATCATTGATCCTTGTCACAATCCGGTACGGTCCGTCCCATTTAGCTTGAAGCTTAGGAGATTTCCCTTTGCTGCGAACTGGATTGTGTAACCACACTAGTGAACCTTCATCAAAGCCCTTGTTGTTCATTTTGCGGTCATACCGTGTTTTCATCTTCTCAGACGTTTGCTGGCCCGTCTGTCTGACGTGCTCATAAATGTCATTCATTTTGTTCCGCAAGTCATTTGCATAATCGGTTATACTGCGTGGTGCATCAGGTGGTATTCCGGTGATCAGGTCTGCAGGCAGCCGCAATTCTCTCCCAAAGTTTGCGAAAGCTGGTGTCACTGATGTACTTTCGTGAACAGCGCTTCGATATGACAACAAAAACGGTTGTATGTGCCTATCCCAGTCTCGTTGTCGTTTTTCCACAACTTTTGCTAGGTACCTCTCCAATGTCTGATTAAATCTTTCTACCATTCCATCAGATTGTGGGTGGTAAGAAGTTGTTCGTGTTTTCTGAGTACCCATAACTCGGCAAGTTTCCTGGAATATTTGAGACTCAAAATTCCTTCCTTGATCGCTGTGAATCTCTAAAGGTACTCCAAAACGACAGAAGACTTCATGAACTAGTTTATCTGCAACGGTTGAAGCTTCTTGATTTGGAATGGCGAAGACTTCTGGCCACTTAGTGAAGTAATCCATCACGACCATGAAATACTTGTTACCACTTTCAGTTTCTGGAAACGGCCCCGCAACGTCAATGGCTATCCTCTCCCATGGTGCACCAACATTGTACAATTTCAATGCGCCTCTACTACGAATTTGAGGTCCCTTTACAGCCGCACAACTTGTACATTTGCGGCACCAGTCCTCGACATCGTCACGACAGTGGACCCAGTAAAACCGTTCTCGGATCTTCAGGAGAGTTCGTTTAACTCCCAGGTGGCCTCCTGAACAACCACTATGGTACAGCTGTAGAATATCCGGCACTTTAGCCTTAGGGACAACCATTTGCAAATGACACCTGTCTCCCCGACCATTTTCCCATTTACGGCACAGGACTCCATCCTGAATCAGCAAGCTGTCCCATTGGGCCCAATAGCTTTTCGTGGTCGAACTCATTGCTGAGACGTCGCTCCACTTGGGCTTAGGAGCACTGGCCTTCATCCATTCCAGAATCGGCTTAATGTCCGAATCTTCCTGCTGTGCATGTTGTAGGCTGTCCTTCCACTCATTGCTGAGCTGGTCTGTCCTGAGCATTCTCACAGATACCACTTCCTTACCCTCTTGCCTAGTACAATGCTTGCAATCTTCAGGGCAAGGTCTTCTTGACAATGCATCTGCATTGCCATGAGATTTCCCGCTGCGATGTTCGATCACAAAGTCGTATTCCTGCAGTAGTTCTATCCATCTCGCAACTTGTCCTTCCGGATTTTTGAACTGCAATAGCCATTTCAGTGCAGCATGGTCAGTTCGTAAGTGGAATTTCCGCCCTAGAAGATATTTGCTAAAATGCTGCAAGGACTTTACCACAGCAAGCAATTCCCGTCTTGTGACACAATAGTTCCTTTCCGGCTTTGACAACGACTTGCTGAAGTACGCTATCACAATCTCTTGATCACCATTCCGTTGAGACAACACACCGCCAAGGCCTATATCACTTGCGTCTGTGTCAACTATGAATTCCTTGCCCGCATCAGGGTACCCCAAAATAGGTGTTTTGCACAGGCGGTTCTTGAGCTCCTGGAATGCAATATCGCAACTTTCATCCCAGCAGAATTGTCGCTTCTCCTCGGTTAGCTTGTGCAGAGGTTTGGCTATATCTGCAAAGTTCTTCACAAATCGCCGATAATAAGAGCACAAACCCAAAAATGCTCTAACCTGTGTCTTGTCTTTTGGGACCGGCCACTCCTTGACAGCAGCAATTTTCTCTGGATCCGTGCGGATACCTTCTTCCGACACTACATACCCCAAAAAACTAACTTGCCGTTTGAATAGTGAGCACTTCTTTGGACTCAACTTGAGGTTGGCACTCTGGATCTTCATGAGCACGCGTTCCAGGTTTTGAAGGTGTTCCTCAAACGTACGGCCTACGATGATGATGTCATCCAAATAGACCAGACAGGCATCTCCAATTAGCCCGGTAAGTACAAGTTCCATCAATCTTTCAAACGTTGCTGGAGCATTGCACAATCCAAACGGCATAACTTTAAATTGCCACAGACCCTTTCCTGTGGAAAATGCAGTTTTCTCCTTGTCCTTAGGGTCAATTTCAACCTGCCAGTAGCCACTTTTCAGGTCCAGCGTACTAAACCACTTTACGCCTGTGAGCATGTCCAGCGTGTCATCAATTCTAGGCAAGGGATAGCTGTCCTTCTTCGTAACGTCGTTCAGGCGGCGGTAGTCAACACAAAACCGCATGCTGCCGTCCTTCTTCTTTACCAGCACCACAGGTGAACACCATGGACTAGATGAAGGTTCAATAACACCATCCTTCACCATTCCCTCAATCATGGTTTCCACTTCCTTTTCACGTGCTACAGGCAATCTTCTTGGCCGCTGACGAATAGGCAATTCTTGTCCTGTGTTTATTTTGTGTTGAACTAAGCCAGTCTTTCCTATGTCAGCTTCGTTTGACGAGAAAACATTGGCGTACTTGAGTAACAACTTCTTCGCCTTGACCATTTCATTCGGGGAGAGAACGCTGCGACAGTCTTCTAAAAGTGTGGTCACTCTCGTTTGTCCATCCTTGCTAGGGGTCCCGGTCGATAGATATTCGCACCGACGCAACCAATCCACTTCCTCACTAGTACCAACCAATGTGCCTTTTTCTATAATCTGTTCCTGATCACAAAGGTTCAACACACGTACTCCTGAGATGTCGGTGGTTCTGACCAAGGTTCGAGCCACTTTTCATGGAAGGTCATTGTCTACCCTTTCCACGAGTTCACAACGATGAGCTTGCCCAGGACTCCGAGGAAGACTAACCGGCACAATCGTTTCCGATCTCGGCGGAAGAACAATCTTCTTAAGGCTGTACACATTCCCTGGTAACGCCCCTTCCATGAAAAGTTCTTCTTGTCCACATTTAAAAACACCTTGCTTAACGTCGATCTCACAACAATTCTTCCTCATAAAGTCTAGGCCCAGGATGCAGTCGTCCATTATATCAGCAACGATGACATTATGCAGGTAGATCATGTTGCCTAGCTTCAACTCCATCTCCTTCTCTCCACGGACGGGTATGCGCTGACCAGTGGCTGTCACCAAATTAATGGGTTCTCGGTTGTATGCGGAGTCACCAAGGAACCGACTTATAAGTTGGGAACTGACAACCGTGCGAGAGGCTCCAGTGTCTATGGTCAGTTTACATGGCGTTCCGTTGACTTCGCCCTTGATGATTAGACTGTTCCCATCATGAGTTTGTGAGATCGAAATCCTTGGGGCTCTTTTAACATCAGCCAGCACCCGCCAGTTTCCCTGCTGCTGCTGGGCGGTGCTATTATCCGCACTACCCTCTCGAGATCGATCACCTTCCCTTTTTACAGTTCGCTTAGGGCAGCTGGATCGAAGATGGCCCCTTTCTCCACAGCCGTAGCACCTAGGGCTGTAGCTTTTATTGCGGTCCTGAACTTTAGCTGCTGCAACCTCCCTGACGCGGTGGGAACGATGATCCTGCCGCACGGCTTCCACCTCCAGTGCATGGGTCAAGGCGTCCTTAAGCGTCTCGTGGTGCCCGAGCCTCACAGCAGCTCTGACTTCAAGGTCGCGGATGCCGTCGATGAATGTCTGCACCAGGTTCCCTACAATAAGCGCAGGTACAGACTGGTACGCTTTTCGAACCAGCTTCTCCACCTCAAGGGCCCACTGCTGCAGGTTTTCGTTACTGCGTTGCACGCGATCTTTGAGCTGCGCACGAAAGACGTGTTCCAGGTGAGCGTCGCCATATCTCGCCTCCAATGCCTCAAGGAGCTGCTCGTAAGTCACTTCCTTACCGAGAGCTTCCAGAACAGTTAATGCCTGGTCGCGCAGGCCTAGGGTGAGAGCAGTCATGGCCTGGCTTTTATTCCAGCCGTTCGCTTTCATGACAGCCTCGAACTGGATTTTATAGGCCGACCAGGAAGAAGTCCCGTCGAACGGTGGCACTTTGAATCCACGTAGCGAAGGTGTTGTAGCTACCACGGGAGCTGTGATTCCATCCCCAAGTTTGAGGTCGTCCAGCGTTTTCTTCACATCAGCCATCACGTTGTCAACCCGATTGTTCACTTGGTCGATTCGGGTTTCAGCTTCCGACAGGCGGTTGTCATGTTGAGCAACCCTATCCTTCACCTCCTTTATCTCTTTCCCGAAGGTAGCGTGAAGGTCCTTCCTGAGGAGCATCTGTTCTTCCATACCGCGCTGCAGCTGCTCTTCCAGCCGACGGGTCTGTTCCTCCTGTCGGCGGGCCTGTTCCTCCTGTCGGCGAGCCTGATCCTGCAGCATCATCATTAGAGCACCTAAGTCTGGTGCTGCAGATGCAGGAGCTGCTGACGGGCCAGCCTCCGTGCTTAGCAACTGGCCCTCCGACGTTTGCGGCGTTGCATTACCAAATCGTCTCTGGTCCGTCTCCTGTTGGCGTTGACTTCGGGTACGGATACCCTCCGTGTCGTCTTTAGGTAAAATCGGCATATTTGACCCCACACCTGACACCAATTGTTACGAGCTTCGGGTTCGAGACAATTAAAAACTGCCGACTGAATTACCAAAATTGACACTTTAATTACACAACACTAATTACAATCAAAAATCACACTAATAATAAAACACAGTTCGCCGTTATTTCGCTTCGAAGTATTCTCTTGTATCGCCAATTCAATACTGCCCCGGTCGTGGTCTATACCGGTCTTATATAGGGCCTCAGATAGTTTCCAGAACCTTCTACTGTAGCGACATCTAGAATGTTCGAGTACATATCGGTCCCGAAATTTCTGGAAGGATCTCGACTCTCCTAGTTCTGCTACTCGACACTAGAGGGCGCTAGTGTGACTAGTGTTGCCATGTACAAGACAATAATAGTGGCGCGTAACAATATAAACATAATGTAAATTTATGGATGATAATAACCCCTGGATATGAGGTGATCGCTACCAAGCTATTTCTAATTTGTTGTGTTGTTAATTTGTGTAACATCATGATTGTAAGCTGTTATTTAAAAAAAAAAGTCCCGCTGGGTTTCTTGCTGGTTCTTCCCAGGACAGAGGTTTTTTCCAAATCAGTGGTAATCAAACAAAAGAGTGGCTTTCAATAAGTATTATTTATAATCTATATTGAATAAAAAAGTTTCTGTTTCTGTTCTGTATCTAATAATAATATACACATAAAAATAAAATAGATATATAACTATATAATTAAAATTTATATAAATAATATATATATATTAAACATGTATGTATGTATAAAAATATAACGTATGATATGGGATATTTTCTTACACTACCTACACGGCACACTAATAAATTATTGCTATGAGCTTCGGGTTTGTGACAATTAAAAACTGTCGAGTTAATTACCAAAATTGACATTTTAATTACAGAATACTAATTACAACTTAAAACCAAACTAGTAATAAAATGCATTTGTATCCCTTCGAATTATTCGTTTGTATCGCCAACTTCACACTGACTGGGTTGTGGTCTATACCGGCTTTATATAGGGCTTCGGATAATTTCCAGAACCTTCTACTGTAGAAATATCTAGAATGTTCGAGTACATATCGGTCCCGACTGACTAGGTATCGATAGTTTTAGAAAGTTTTTCATGGAAAATTCTAGAAGGATTTTGACTTTCCTGGTTCTTTTACTCGATACTAGAGGTTGTTACTGGTAACTAGTGTTGCCATGTACAGGCATTAATGGTAGCGTTTAATATTATTGTATTTAAATATTTATGGGTTTCTTTCTGGTTCTTTCTATAGCAGAGATTTTCTGAACCAATGGTAAATTTAACATACGAGTGACTTTCAATATGCATTAAGGTACGTGAGGGTAATATGGCCACCCTATAAAATCAAAACTAGGAGGAGGACAGAGACAAAAATACAAAGTCGTATGCTGTAACTGATATATTAAGAAAAAAAGAGCAAACAAGCTTTCGCAATAATTAGGAATACTTCGAAAAATTAACTTAAAAAAATTAACTACGCTACCCAATACTAAAATCGACTGAAATATTTTCTATAATATCAACTGTCAAAATGGCGTCGATAAAGCGACGCCCTTTTTGGCCCTTTATTATTTGATTGACTGGCGAAGAGCTATCGTATCACAAAGCTATTTATGCAAACAAGGCTGTGGTTTTTGAGTTGTAAGGAAGTTACCATATTAACCAGATGACCATATTACTCTTACGTACTATATTTATAATTTATTTTTCTACGATATTCTCATACAATTTCTATAGACATGTTTGTTTATACAAGTGTACAAAATTCAAATGAGTAGTGTCAAACGCCTAATAGCGTAAGTAGTAACAGTCTGGTGGTGTGAGTTATAAGTGTGGGGTCCACAGCGGGCGCTGCGGGCGGAGTGCCGCCGGTGCCGCCGCGGCGCGCGCGGTCGCGGCGCGCGCACACGCCGCCGCGGCCGGCGCCCAACGGGCTGCCGCCCACGCCCAAAGTCCACATGGGGGCCTGCTTCTCCAAGGTCAGTCGTTACTCGAAAACTCAATAAAAATAATTATTATAATATAAATGAATACATGGTTGATAATAAGAGTACTTACATAAAGAAACAGGTTTCTTGTACAGACAAATCTGTGATGGTCGGTACTGATCAGTGTAGGTATAATATTTCTATGTTATCTTATGCGGTCACTTATAAAGAAACAGGTTTAAACTTGTCGGTGCCGACTACCTGTACCGAGCCACACGGGTTCAACCGTTTGCCGATGTAGAATGTATGTATTTATGAAAATGGATGTAGATAACGAAGTTTTGATAGCCTTGGTATTTGATATTTGAACATGCCAGTTACACCATCTCTTAATTAAGTGATGTTCTATTTTATTTAATATATATTTAAATGTTTCATGTGCCATACAGGTATAATGATAAAGCCTATGTTCATCAAACTTTATGTCTTTTATAAATAAATGATAATATGACCCATATTTTTTTCTTTTCCTGTTAATATTAATAACATAATTGACAATAACGATTCTTTTCTTTTTAAATTCAAAATAAACACTTTCCAAACGTAAAAAAAATCGTCGTCAGATAAACTGGAGACCATGTATGTCAATAAAAACAGATTTACCTGTTTCTTTACACCGATCGGTACCGAACAGCACAGATTTGTCTGTACCGGAAACCTGTTTATTTATGTAAGCACCCTAACTCCTGAAATAAGGTGGTCACTTCCGAGCCGTAACTTTGATAAGTTTTGTATGTACTTTATACAACCTATGTGTTTGTTTCTTGTATTAGTTTGATTTGATTAAAAGTTTCGCTGGATTCCTTGCTGGTTCTTCCCTGAACAGATTTTCCGAACTAAGACTAAAAGTAAAAATAAATAAATGAGAATTAATTGTAATAATGATCTGCAGTATCGTGAACGCGCTTAAATCTTCTGGAACTTTAGTTTGAGCATGTTTACGTAGTAGTTCGAGCACACAGTTCACCTGATGGTAAGTGGTTGCTGTGACCTATAGGCACCTACAGATATCCTCGATTAACTATGAAAATGCAGATGCGTTGTCACCGCTGAGGACTAATATTGAATGCCTCGTTTCCAGAAAGAGTCTCCAGTTCTCTACACTCACCATACGAAACACAGTAGTATTAAGCTGCTATTTTACGCTGGTATTCTGTGAGAGTGTAGTTCTTCCCCGGTCGAACCGACCCATTTGTGTATAACTTGATAATATAACTGCAGCATTAGAATCAATTTAAATATTTAATTTAAGAGTTTAAAAATCATTAATTTTAGTGATTTTAAACCTTCGGCTTCATCCAGAAGTTGACCTTCAGTCGGACACTAGTTGCCATTAACATAAAATAAAAAATGTTTTTTTTTTAAATTAATACATAGTATATTTATGTAACTATAATGTCATAATTTGTATTAAACTGTAGCTAAAATATATATGCTTTGTAATCTAAAAAATAATTTGTTGTGAATCGTTAATCGCCATTTGCTGAATCGATTTAACATTGTTCCATCTCTAGACACGTTAAACTTTATCCTGTCATCCGCACCATGCTACAACGCAAAGACTATAGTAATAAAATTATAGTAATAATTATAGTAATAACAGTGGTAGAGCCACGCGGCAGCTTTTGCTGTCGCACGGATGGGCCGGCTCGAACCGGGGTGGTACCACGACCTCACAGAATACCAGCGTGAAGTAGAGGTTTACCTCTGCGTTTCGCTTGGTGAGTGCAGGTGGCCGGAGGCCCTTTTTACTGGAAATGAGGCATTCCATCTTAGTCCTCACGGGTGACAACGCATCTGCATTTTGATTCGCAAACGAGGATAGATGTAGATGTCTATGGGCCGCAGCAACCACTTACCATCAGGTGGACTGTGTGCTCGTTTGTCACCCTTATCCTATAAAAAAAAAAAAAAAAATTATTTCTCAATTGTACCTAATAGAGTAATAACAGCAGCAAAGATCGATTTACAAAATCCTTAGATCGTTCGTTAAGATTTTTTTACACAGTAAAACTTTAACGTAACATAGTTTAAAAGCACAAAATTATAGCATCGAAGTTTTTGCTTTCATCAGGTTTTCAACGGATGTCCGCTAAGGATAAACTGTACGGCGTCTTGGATACACCCGGATACAAGGGATCAACATATTTTAATTGGTAAGAAATTTCCCTGTTGTTTGGTTTCGTCACTTAAAATATAAAATTACTTGTGAACTATGCCGCCTTATTTTTTGATTTTGTTTGTTGCTTTCAATCTTTGGAAATTTTATTGTGAATAAATATATGCACTATCACGTCTTTACCAAAAAAAAAAACATCGTCGTCCTTACTCATAAAAATCTACGTCAATTTAAGAAACACTTGAAAGTTGCTCTCTCTCTCTTTTCACGAAGTGAAAATAGAAAGAGACAGGTATAGAGATAATTTATACTTAAGTAAGCGTTAATCACTAGATGGAATGACGACCTGGTAAGACATGCAGGGAGTCGATGGATGCAGGTGGTTCAGGACCGTGCTTTGTGGCATTCCTTGAGGGAGGCCTATGTTCAGCAGTGGACTTGTGAAAGGCTGTAATGATGATGATGATGAAGCGTTAATCAACGATTTAAGGAAAGCCGCATAGACAGGATTATAGTGCCTGTGGTATGCGCAAGCACAGGTGCACTCTCGATTCCCTCACTGTCATAGTCCGATGGGACGGCAAGCCGACACCAACTGAGAGAGATCAGGCGCAGGACCCAATGGCTGTACGTGCTTTTCCAGGTACAAGGGTGTAACACCGCCAACTTCCTGACTCCGAGCTGCTGTTGAGAATTTTTTACAGAAAAACCCAATAAGTGATTTTGGCCCTACACGGGATTCGAACCCAGTATCTCATGATTAGCAACCGCGTTCACGGCTACTAAAGCAACGAGGCAGTCAAATATTATATAATTACTAGCGATCCGGTCCAGTGAGGGCATCCACGACTTTTTTACCACGAGGGCTGCGCCACTAGAAAATAAGGTTTAATATTTGATAGATTTTATAACGCGGAAGTTAATTTGTTCGAAAAATGTAAAGGTTAATGTTTCGTTCTGTTACCATAAGTTATATTTTATATTAATTAGATTTAAAAAAATCAAACCACAGATATTCAACAAAGTAGGAAAATAAAAAAAGATTTAAAAATGTGCACAAAATCAAAGAACAAACCACTGAGGCATTGTTTTTTTGTATATTGATATAATACTCTAGAAACTGATAAACGTTTATTTAACACTCACTTCTGAATTAAACGATATTGTGCTACAGAATACTTTACCTCAGTGTCAACTAGCGCCATCTGTTGTGCGGATAATTATTAGCCCTCATTGAAATGTGTTTAATCCATCTAGGGACCCACTCAAGCACACACAAAAAATTCATCAATATCGGTCCAGCCGTTTTCGAGTTTTTGCGAGACTATCGAACAGAATTTGATTTTTGTATATAGAGATATATCTAACTATTTATTTATTTTGTATTCAACAGGCGCGGAAGAAGGTATTTATACGCTGAATTTAAACGAACTGCACGAAACTGCCATGGACCAGCTGTGTCCGCGGCGAACCATCTGGATGCATGTCATCAAGGATGTGCTAATGTCACTCTCCGGTAAATATCTACTGCACTGAAATACCTACACCTAATATTAATATATATATATATATAATACAAAATGTCTTCTTAGCTTGAAGATAATTTACCTAGACATACTGGGCAGGCGTTAGCGAATTGAATCCCGGTTTACGTCTGGCATACACGAGATGGTTATAGGTACTGCCATCAGTCGGATTTCATGCCTTTTTCGTTTCTTATAATCGCCTCTTTTGACACCCGCTGGATGAAATGAAGTGTTAGAATCTCGTATGCAGCTACCACATGTCCCTGTCCTATCCTTATAAATTCTCTTTTAATGCTGAAAACTTCATAAACGTGTATGAAGCGTCAGTAGCCTAATGGCAGGGCGCGGACCGCGAACTCGAAAGATCCTGGATGCGAATCCGTCATTCGACTACTGTCGTGAACCACTCCTACCATAAGCATTTAAGCTTACCAGAAGTGGTTAAAGAGAATATAGTAATGTTTAATAGCATTACTAGTGTTTTTATTAAAAAAAAAACAAATAGCAAACACTTCAGTCTCTCCGAGATTATGGGTGCTGTAGAGTACTTGAAGCGTCGGGCATATAAAATACGCGATAAAATCCGTAAAAAAAAAATTAGTTTAACTCCATGTGTAGTGTTCGCGTAAATATAATAAATTATATACAGTCTATTTTATGTACAGTAGTATACACCTTTAAGCACTGGCTTATAATATTTAAAAAAAATATTGCCAAAGAGTCTACATGGCGTAATTACAGAACGTATGCACAAGCATTCAAAGGGCATACAATTCAATTTCAATCCTCCGTGCAACAAAACAAACACAGTGATCAAATACATTTACAAAAACATATGCACACGTATTCAAGGAGTATATTAGATTCAACCCTTTTAATCACAACCGCCACAATACGAGGGCGGCACTGAAAATTTCGGGAATCAAGGAAGTGACACAACATTACTATTTAAAAATGTATTAATTGCTTTTCGAAGTATTCTTCGCGAAATTTGACTCATTTTTCCATAGGATGGAACCAATAATTGAAGCAACCATTCCATTCGGAAGTTGGGGTCTCCAAAATAGCCGCTTTGTAGGCGTCCACAGCTTCTTCAGGTGATGAAAATCTGTCCACGCAATTTATTCTTTATTTTAGGGAAAGTATAGAAATCATTAGGGCTTAGGTCGGGGCTGTACGGCGGATGGTCTAATAATTCTATGTTTTCTTGCTCTAAAAACTCTTTTGTTCTGTGTGCGGTGTGAGAACTCGCATTGTCGTGATGGAGGATGATGCGGCGGTTGCAGTTCTCTTTATGGAGTTCAGAAACGACCTGTGGCAAACAAATGCTAGCAAACGATTAACCGTTCTTTGTCCCTCAAGAGGAATAGTCGTAACATGGCCAGTTTTGGAGACAAACGTGGCCACCATTTTTTTGCAACACTCCGTGAACGAACAATTTTTGTTGGCTTTAACTCATTTTCGAACACCCAAACTCGTGACTGTTTTTATGTTTCGGGTTCGTACGCGTATATCCAGGATTCGTCACCTGATACGATGTTGTACACAGCATTTGAGGATCCTGCGTGGAATCTTTCGAGAGTTCTGACGCACCAAGTAACGCGAGCCGCTTTTTGCTCTTCACAGAGCGAATGCGGTATCCATCGGGAAAACAACTTTTTTACACCTAATTGTTCATTCAAGATTATTTGTATTTGACTCATGCCAATGTCTAAAGTTGCCTGAATTTCGCGATATATCACATGTCGATCTTCCTCAATCAGCTTACGCACAGCATCAACGTTTTCTTGGGTGACTGCAGTTTTTGGACGACTTTGACGGGGATCATCACTGAACTTGACACGTCCACGTTGAAATTCAGCAAACCAGCGATAAATTGTGGTTTTGGATGGGGCTTCATCACCATATGCAGAAATCATCCGGTCAACACACTGTTTTTGTGTTAAACCACTTCGAAAGTCATAATAAATCATCGCTCTTGAATTTTCTCGAGTCAATTCCATTTTCTCAACGACTAAACAAGTTTGATAAAACCTTGTGGCAAGACCGAGAATCTTTTTTTAAATAAATAAATGGTATTCGATTTTTAAAACCAAGGAGTTTTCAATTAAAAAGATTTTAATATGACAGGAACAGTGGAAATATTCTATTCCCGATACTTTTAGTGCAGCCCTCGTATGAAACATTTCGCGGAAGGCACAAACCATTTTTAATTTTAATTCAAAACATCGTTAATTAAGTGCTCGACCAAAACTAAATCTAACAATCCCTAATAGCGCAATTCAACGCTCCCATGGAGCCCTAATCTTCCCAACAACTAAGCAGAGGCTAACCCGGGTGTGAAACCGGAACAATAAAGCGCGTACCGTCAAACACTCGACGCTCGGGCGGTACGCCCTCACTGAGGCCGTCGACAAGAGAACAGATTGACATGTGAGCTGTTGACGGCCCACAGTATTAGTGGAGACGGCCGTGGTGGGAGCTAGGGCGGCAGCTACCTAGCTGGGCTGCCTACATCAAAGGGGGAACGGTAGTACCCCGAGCCGCGGCCACTCAGCTGACGAAGGCGAGAAGTGTCTAGCTGACCGCTGCGTGGCAGTGAAGTCCCTCAACATACTGAGGGGGGGTGACGACCCTCCGCCCCTGGGGGAACAACCCACCGACAGGGGGCGCGGCTGAGTACCCCCGCCCGTGGGAGTCGAGGGCCCGGAGATCCCTGAGAGGAAACGCCGTTCGCACCCAGACACAAAACGGCATGGCGATAGCCCTAGCCGCGCGATGGCATTACTTCTATATACAAATTACTACGCGGCTCAAATTACAAATTGACAAATAACATATACAAAAAGAATTAACGAGTAACAAAATACCGTTCCTATCAAATCAAGTTAAATACAATTACACAAATACAAATTACCATTTATTAGATTTATATTATTACCATTTATTAGATTAAATACGAACCACAATACAATAAAGATACACAGCCCGTTCGATCTACAAAAAATGCCTCGCTCAGACAACCGACCCTTTGATAAGTAATCAACCATAATTATACGACAACGATAATTATCCGATTTACGTGATAATAACCATCTACCTACCCAACGCATCTCTCTAGCAAACTCCCGCTTGCGCAACCTAGGGCGTGGCAATCACAACTACCCACCAACAACAAAAAAGCAAGCAACAAAGCAACAAAAGAAAAGAATTTTATCTTTACGTATTACGGCCGGGCGTGATTGTTGAAACAAAATTAAACCAATCAAACCAACGCTAACTGCCACCAAAATTGTTTAATTTTTATCAAACACTACGGTCGGGCTCGACCGGGAATCGAACCCGGAACCACGCTCTGCCTGCGGCTGCTCAAGCAAAAGTTCAATCATCCGGGGCCCATCAGCGGAACTTCACGAGCAGACGTAGGTCGGGCCTCAATATGACCACGTGGAATATGTTCTATCACAATAAACTATATGGGAGAAAGCTAGAAACACATAGTACTTACCATTATCCGAAGCTAACTTCGCACCAAGGCTTGGGCAAGCCGTGAGTGTGTGTAATAGTGGATGGCGAGTAGTGTACAGTGAAGTGTAAATGTCTGCGACCTGAGCAAGCTTAGGCGACCAGCAGCGGCCGAATTCAAGGCTGCCCCAAAATGCTGCATCGCTCCAGCAGGCTCGATCGCTGGACCATTTCGTTCTTCATTGTCACTAATTCAGTTTCTTAGTTTCATTGTACATTTAACTAACTTAAATTCGCCTAATTCCACATTCATCGTAGAATCGAACACGTGATACCCGACAGATTCAGCGTTAAACACAACTAAGTTCCTTCATTCGACACTAGAACAACACGTCGCGCAAGATTCAAAGTACGCCTCGTTGACAACGCGAATTAATCTAACTAGCCAACCAAAACACAAAAGGCGCACTAAACGCGATGACACAATTATAATGATATCTTGACAATTAACCGGGAGAAGCTCTCAAACTAGGAATGCGCGGCTCGAATCCTAGACCGTATATCTACTAGACGCGCGTACACTATTCCGCACTCTCGCCCGAGTTAAATATCGCACAATTCACATATCTACGTGACGAAGAAGCACGTACTTCATCTAGCTATCTAGATCCACGACGGGCCGTGAATTTTGAGCCTGACGGTCTCCCCGCCTCGTGGCTGGCGGGGCAACGACGTTTTGCCCACGCGTCGAGCGACTCACTGCCCACGCGTCGAGCGACTGACTGCTCACGCGTCGAGCGACTGACCGCCCACGCGTCGAGCGACTCACTGCCCACGCGTCGAGCGACTGACCGCCCACGCGTCGAGCGACTCACTACCCACGCGTCGAGCGACTCACTGTCCACGCGTCGAGCGACTGACTGCTCACGCGTCGAGCGACTGACCGCCCACGCGTCGAGCGACTCACTACCCACGCGTCGAGCGACTGACCGCCCACGCGTCGAGCGACTAACCGCCCACGCGTCGAGCGACAGACTACCTACGCGTCGGGCACGGTCGGCCCACCTCGGCGCTTATCTCTCCCACATACCATCGGACGAGGCGCCAGCTCGAACGCAATTGGTTGGCGTTAAACATGAACAAATTTGGGCATAAACAGGCTGTAACGGTAATAGTAGATGTTCTGGCCTTTGAATATCTACTGTTACTGTTACTACAAAATCTACTGCCATAGAGTGAAGACTGTGTTCGTTTGTCATGCTTATTCTATTAAAAAAGAAATGTTTGTTTGTTTTTTCGTTTCCTTCATTGGCGGGTTGTTGCAGGCAAGACGCCGTCGCTGTACCGGCACGAGCTGCTGGCGCTAGCTGGAAGTGCGCGCGGCGGCCGCTCGCTGCGCGCGCTGGCGCCGCGCCTGCTGCCGCGCCGCCTCGCGCCCAGCACGCGCGTGCCCGACACCAGAGGTAGGTCGCTGCACCGGCACGAGCTGCTGCCGCGCCGCCTCGCGCCCAGCACGCGCGTGCCCGACACCAGAGGTAGGTCGCTGCACCGGCACGAGCTGCTGCCGCGCCGCCTCGCGCCCAGCACGCGCGTGCCCGACACCAGAGGTAGGTCGCTGCACCGGCACGAGCTGCTGCCGCGCCGCCTCGCGCCCAGCACGCGCGTGCCCGACACCAGAGGTAGGTCGCTGCACCGGCACGAGCTGCTGCCGCGCCGCCTCGCGCCCAGCACGCGCGTGCCCGACACCAGAGGTAGGTCGCTGCACCGGCACGAGCTGCTGCCGCGCCGCCTCGCGCCCAGCACGCGCGTGCCCGACACCAGAGGTAGGTCGCTGCACCGGCACGAGCTGCTGCCGCGCCGCCTCGCGCCCAGCACGCGCGTGCCCGACACCAGAGGTAGGTCGCTGCACCGGCACGAGCTGCTGCCGCGCCGCCTCGCGCCCAGCACGCGCGTGCCCGACACCAGAGGTAGGTCGCTGCACCGGCACGAGCTGCTGCCGCGCCGCCTCGCGCCCAGCACGCGCGTGCCCGACACCAGAGGTAGGTCGCTGCACCGGCACGAGCTGCTGCCGCGCCGCCTCGCGCCCAGCACGCGCGTGCCCGACACCAGAGGTAGGTCGCTGCACCGGCACGAGCTGCTGCCGCGCCGCCTCGCGCCCAGCACGCGCGTGCCCGACACCAGAGGTAGGTCGCTGCACCGGCACGAGCTGCTGCCGCGCCGCCTCGCGCCCAGCACGCGCGTGCCCGACACCAGAGGTAGGTCGCTGCACCGGCACGAGCTGCTGCCGCGCCGCCTCGCGCCCAGCACGCGCGTGCCCGACACCAGAGGTAGGTCGCTGCACCGGCACGAGCTGCTGCCGCGCCGCCTCGCGCCCAGCACGCGCGTGCCCGACACCAGAGGTAGGTCGCTGCACCGGCACGAGCTGCTGCCGCGCCGCCTCGCGCCCAGCACGCGCGTGCCCGACACTAGAGGTAGGTCGCTGCACGACTTTACGGCACCGGCACGGCTGCCGTAAAGCCGCGTATCGATTACGCGCTCCAAGAGGTCGAACATTGGCGCGCGCTCCAGCCGCGCGAAATGGATTCCATCTTGAAGCGCGCGCCAAATTCTTCATTGGAGCGCTCAAATGTGGAGCGGGCCGCTCCATCTGTTGTCGGTATTTTGCCGCACATCAAAGTAGTTTAAGTTATGGCGCGCGCGCCAGTTGTGACGTTTTACTTTTACTTTTTTTTTACTTTTTCTCGACTAACTCGAGAACAAAAAATTTAATCAAATTTTTATATATTTTTATTTGCAAATTCGAATGACGCCACGCGTGCAACGCGCGTGCCAGTTAGAAGTAACAAAACTTAATACAAGACAAATAATAATAATAATATATTTATATTTTATTGAATGTTTTGTGGCCGAATTTTACAACCAACAATGTATTGTATGGCTATTTCCAGAAAAACTCATTCAAAGGAATTATACTAACATAGACGCTTGTATTAATAATTATAATTATTAAAATTCTGTAAATACATACTCGTTACGCTCGCGAATCATATTTTATTAAACATACAACCTGACACTGACCTGCAAATTGCAAAAAACGTAAGAAAATTTGAATTTCGCGGGCCACCCTGGAACTTTCGCCTTAATAGACATTATTTTGACAGTTGGGAAAGAGAACGCCCAAGTTCGGAAAAGGTAAAGAAAAAGCTGAAGTATGTAATAACCCACATCCCGAACACTACACGTCCCTGCAATACGCCACTTTTTGAGCAACTGTATTAAAATAGAATATTTCGGATTGAGTTACAATAAAACCTTTTTTAGAATTTGAATACTGCTGGCCTCTTAGAATCTTAATGACATCCAAACAATTAAAAAAAAGGTTTAAAAACAAAAACTATGTTGGTTTAAAGTTGACACGTCGTTAACTGAAATGGAGCTCACGCGTGAACATTTCCGTGCCATAATTTATCACAATATTCGTCGCGGCTTATCTCAAGATAAATATCTCAGCGAACTTGTTTCGATTTATGATGTTGAAGCACCGAGTCAAACGACAATATAGCGCTGGTATGCCGAGTTCCGACGCGGTCGTGTTTCGCTCAGCACTGTTTCTTCTGCAGGTTGATCAAGAACAACGGTCACGCCGGAAAACATCGCAGCTGTGCGAACTATTATATTAGATGACCGTCATGTGACATACAAGCAGATTCGGGCTGTTATCAGTATCGGAATGACTGCAATTCAGTCGATATTACATAATGAGCTGTGTGTAAGAAAGCTAGTTTCCCGCTGGGTTCCCCACAATTTGTCCGAAGAGCAAAAGGCGGCTCATGTAGATTGGTGCCGGAATACTCTGCAACGCTTCAACGGAGGGAAGTCAAATGCCAAAAAAATTAGACCCATTCGTGCTATAACTATACCAGTAAAATAGTTGCAGCATGGCTCTACTACGTGCAATATAAATTATTATTAGAGAAGTCACTGGTTCCAGAAACAAAGTTTCAGACTAGTTCGGGAGCCTGTTGGATACATTGAAATTGAAACACATAGTGTAATATTTTGTATGTTAAATAAATTTAAGTATTTATTTAAAGCATAAAGTGCACTCACAAAAACAAACGGTGTATAAAGCAATGTGGTGTATCGTGTTCAGGTTGTATGCGGTGTGCGGTGTCGCGCAATCCGTACAACGGGTACAAGTACCTGTGCGGGGCCACGCCGGCGGGACTCTTCCTCATGCAGTGGTACGACCCGCTCAGGAAGTTCATGCTGCTCAAGGTACGTCACATTGGATAATTTTACAAATGTTAGAAGTTTATTATGCGAACAATTGTTGACTGTTGTAACATCCAATATATTAATTATGATGGTCTACGGAACATATACTTGTAAATTACTGGCTGGCTAGCCATATATTGGTCTGCCCAAAAACTATTCATATATCTCTCAAGTTAGGGCAAGCTTTACATATTTAAAAAAAATGCATTTAATTCAACTTAGCGACTTCAGGGATTAGCGTAAAGCTCCGTTTACACGCAGCGACTGGCATGCGCAAACAATTTGTGCAAACGAATGCGGAAAACAACCCGGTGCATTGCACAACGTACACACGATAGCGTCTTGCATGCGCAAGCAGTTTGTACAAAGCTTTCGCAAAGAACATGTGTAGCGTCCACACGCCGTCTTAACGTACATGCTTGCTTGTGCAACTATAATTTGAGCAAAGTAAGCATTTATGCAAAGCCATTTGCACGGTATACCGTTTTGCCGGCTCAATGTTCATGCTTGCCAATGTGTAGCCGGGCCTTAAACGAACATCGTGACACGAGACTTAAAAATGGCTCTAACGATTTATATATATAAAAAAATTTGATCATGTTATGCTTTATGCATATCTAAGAAAATTATTATTTTTCCAAAGCCCGCCCATCAGGGTATACTATATTCAAATGTCACATATACATACATTTTTTACTCGACAGAACATCGAATGTGTTCTCCCCACTCCGTTGTCGGCGTTCGAACTGATAATCACACCAGAGCTGGAGTACCCGCTGCTGTGCATCGGAGCTACAAGGAAACCTCTAAGGCTTAACCTGATCAACATTAACTCTGGTAAGTTTCAATATTTGATATATAGTTATATTTTTATTAGGTACGGAAATATGTTAATTGTCAAAGTAGATATAATATATTTCAAAAACACAACCAGGCAGATGTGGCAAAATCATCAGCGCTGTGGGTTACCCTGCAGCATTACGCTGAGTCATCACCTTTTCACCGGTTCTCTAGATCTGGTAGAGCCACGCTGCAGCTATATTATGGTTGTAGCATGATTGGTTCGGATCAGCCGGGAAAAGACCACAGTCTTACAGAATACTAGCGTAAAATAGCAGCTTAATGTTGCTGTGTTTCGTATGGTGAGTGTAGAGAACCGGAGACCTGTTTTACTTGAAAGGAGGCATTCCATCTTAGTCCCCAGAGGTGACAACGCATCTGCATTTTGAATCGTAATCGAGGGTAGATGTAGTTGTCTATGGGCCACAGCAACCCCTTACCATCAGGTGTACTATATGCTCGTTTGTCACCTTTATACTATATAACAAACACAAAGCCCATCATCCATTTAATGTCTAAAATAATATATTGTTTCCAGGTTCGACATGGTTCCACTCCGACGAGCTGGAAGTGTGTGTGGGGGGCTCGAATACGGTGATCCCAAGGCCAGAGAGACTTCACACTCTGAAGGCTGTTCACCAACTTAACAAGGACGCGGTGAGTTGTTTAGTTGATAATTAGCTAAGTTTAAAGCTGAACGGTCACTCTTAGGGCCATCACACACTCAGCACAACAGTCGACTCAAATTAAGGCATTCAATTGTGAACTTTATATCCCGTCATTTAAAGATCATTTTTTAAAAACTTACATGAAAGTCACGTCTTACACTTATTTTAAATTTAGAATAATTAACTTAATTTGAACATTTCTGCTTTAGATATTTTATTATTATTATTATATATTTTTAAATATTTTACGAATTGTAGCGCACCTAATTTCACTTAATATACTTATTTTAATTTCCACTTGTTACGTCATAAAGCGTAAAACGTCGGAAATTATAATAAGTTGAATGAAACGCGATTATTAAGTCAAAAGAAACAAACCAGGAGGTAGGCAGCAGCGTTTTCCTACTAACAACTAAAAGTAAAAAAAACTGGTTGCCAACCCTCTTGCCAAGCGTGGCAACTATGGCAAATACACCGCCTATGAGGCAATCTATGGGGGAGGCTTATGTTTTCAGCAGGTGGACTTTAATAGATTATAACGGTACGGTAAATTAGACTTCCTCTTTTATTACTCTGTTTTAGAAGTTACTTCTGTGTTATTTTTTATTTTTTCTGGTTTATTCCTGAATTAATATGTGAAAAACTATTTATATAAAGTAAATATATGTTACTTTCTTTCTTTACAAAGGCGCATTAAAGTATATTTTAATCGTTTAAAAGTGATCCGTAATAATCCGTATGGACAGGAAATAAAGTTCACTTTTGAGTGCCTTACTTAGACTCGAGTTGATGTTGAGTCGTTGCAGTGTACGAAGGTCTTTATTGATATTTTCGGCTTACTGATCAAAGTTATGGGTTGAGATCGGGGTTGGAATGATAAGAGAGTTGTTGTTACAGGTGCTAGTCTGCCACGAGAACATGGTGGACATAATTCCAGTGCTCCCGACCTTGGAGCGACGGAGGCCTGAAGAGGAGAAGCGGAAGACTAAGCTAGTTTCGAGGATACAGTTCGATTTCCACATAGAGAGTATATGTATGTTGAAAATTTATTAGGATACCAATATTTTTATAGAAGGGTTACAAATTACTGTCCTCCACTGTACAAGTCGCGACACGTAAGTCTAGCTCTAAACTGAAACGTGGAGGGGACGCACACGAATTGAATTGCACTAATGCGACTGGACAGCCAATCAGCGCGTGCGAACGATACGCACGAGCCAATCAGCGCGACTTATGCCCAATAAGCCAATCAACGCGACTTATGCGTAATAACGGTCACCGCTAGACTTTCATGCCGCTACTTATATCTCCTGTATATCTAATACATGTTTTAGTATTTTACTATTTTTAAATACTTACAGTATGCTTAGCGGACTCAGTGCTCGCGTTCCACCGGCACGGAGTACAGGGCCGGTCATTACGCAATGCGGACGTCACCCAGGAGATCACGGATCTCTCCAGAGCATATCGCCTACTGGGAAACGATAAGTAAGTTATTCAGATGTGAAACTCTAATTGTTGGCTATCGTTATCAAAGTGTAAAATGTCCGAAATTAGCGTTACTGACATTTATTTTTTCTTGAAAATACGTTATCCCCACACTAGGATTTTCTCCTATATCATGCAGTTTACATACATATATTGCACAAAATCCAGACCAAGAACAATTATTTGTAGACCTTAAATTACTTGTTCCTTACGGGATTCGAACCCGTGGCGCTCAACGCATCAACGCAATACTAAACCACTGCGCCTGATGGTAAGTGGATGCTGTGGCAAATATACATCTACATATTATATCCTCGGTTAAAAATCAATATGCACAAAAATGTTGTCACTGAAGACTAAGATGAGATTCGTTTCGTCGCCAGTAAAAATGGTATCGGTTCTCTACACTCACCATACGAAATACAACAGCATTAAGCTGACCTGCTCCGGTCGAGCCGACCCATTAGTGCCACACAGTGAATTATAACTGCAGCGTGGCTCTACCACGTAAAAAAACTGATCAATTCGATACAAATGATTTTAAACTCATTTCCCATTTAGTTAGAAACTTAAATAGTTTGGAAAATCCAAAACTGCACGCCTCATTAGCGTTTTATTTAATTTTGATGAAATAAAAACAAATTGTTTTCGTGACTTTTAAAATATATTATTTACAAAGATTTTTCAAGCCGTTTATTTTTCAAAGTAGCAATATCAAATGATTTTTTAGAAAATATAAAATAGATGGAAAGTGTTTTCTTGATATGCTCATATTATCGTTTAAGTGCAACATGATTATATAGAGGTATTATAAGAACGCCAAATTGCTTGACCTTGACGTGTCGAGAGTATTGCACTACCTAATAACGCTTCGCGTTATGAGACGTGCAAAAACTTTAAACACAATCAGAACTATTTCTAGGGTTAATCATCATTTATTAATTTTCCAGGGTTGTGGTATTAGAGTCGCACACATTGCACAATACCCTATCTAGCGAAGATGGCAACGATTTGTACATCCTTGCCGGTCACGAGGCTTCATATTGAAGTGTCAGTACTGTACTGAAATCTTGCAACGAGGGCTTGAGATTAAATAGGTCATTTTAGACCGAAGCAATCGCAGTACATAGTTAGAAAACATGCACAAATTGTGCCACAAACATACAAACAAGCAACAAGAGATTATATATATTGAAATTACCTGTAAAAAGAACTCTGAAGGTTTTGTAACTAAGTTACATTATACGGTGATTCGCTGACAATAGAAAAAATTCCTAAGCTGTTAATGACTATTTTGTTTAAGGCCCAAATCATTTATATTGGACTGTTTTATTTGCTCAGTGATTGCCAGTTTAAAATATTGTATAAAAAATTGATTTGTGCTTTATAACGTGTGATTTATTACCTGTTGTTTTAAATTCTTTATTGATAATTGTTTAGACAGTTCAAAGCTTAAGGTTATAATCCTATAGTCTTACTTTCTGTGACCATTAATTGGTATAAAAAGAGATTTTTATGTAAATCTAAGGCCGAATCTCTTGCGCGTGGTTTGATCTATACAAACTACAAAAACATCTCCCTAAACAGTTTTGGTTGATTTCGCAAATTTTTGTTGCTATTAGCAATGTTTTTGCTAGCCGACATGTACACATTTTCCGCCATTTTCATTTTACGCGGGAAAACAGTGAGACAGTTTTTTTTTAAATGTAAATATGTGGCAAACCAGTGTGTGTTCACTGTGACTAACGGCATTTTGACCAACGAAGAAATCTGAAAATTTATGAAAATATTTTTAATTAGGTATCGAATTTTTTCGTTATTAAAAATAACGAAGAAATCCGTTATGTTCTATTGCTTGTTATAAAAATATAACAAGTAATAGAACATATTTAACAGTTTACATTATTAAAACAATAATATTATAATAAATTATGTTTGAAATTTAAAAACTAATAACTTGCCGTAATAGATTGGCGATATAATTTAAAAATGTATTAATATATTTTGTGTACGTATTTTTTCTGTAGTTTGGAGAGCAAAACACTCACTGGAGATACGGTATTAGGTTATCATAATGCTATGATAATATTTCTTTATAGAAACAGAACCTTTTCCTTATGTATTATAAATTATGATGCAAAATAAAACATATATCACCATTAATCACGGCTTTAGGAATTAACTAAAGCAGTAATTAATGTAGTATTAACAGATTCCTCACAGCACTGCCACTTAAACCTCCATTTTGTGGAAAAAAACCCAGAAGCAATATTCAGCGAGTGATTTTAGTCGGGATTCAATTTTACTAATTCGTAATATTGTACTGAAATAATGTGATGTGGTGACATGTGACACATGTTTGGATTCATAGCAATAATAAACATTTATGTAGGTTTAATTATTTTAAACATTCAGCTAAATGGAAAGATCGATAATGCACTGAAATATTATGTTACTAATTTTAGTCTAAAATTATATAAAAGCTATTAAGCCATATTTTCTTGGATCAATAGTCAATATTATGCGATTTAAGTAAGAATAGGAACGAATTTTACGACTTTACGTTAACGTAAACCTGTACGGTAGTGAGCAAAACTGATTTTTGATAAAACATTTATTTACAAAATAATGGTAAATTTAATATCTTGAATGAAATAGTTTTAATCATCGTTCCTGGTTAATTGGTTTAATAATTCCTGGCAATTTGCAAATAATAGATTTTATGATGCTAACGCTTAGTTTAAAAAGAAAAAAAATTAAAACAAAATTTTCTTTGCTAACCGTACTTTTATTTTTACAATTACAAGTGTCCGTGAACAGTTTACGATATCATTGACGTTCCTATTCTTATCTCGATCGCGCTATACATCAATAGTTTGTTGCGGTGCTATTTCTATCTTGAAGTATAACAATCTCGAAGATGTGGCCAACTTTTTTTATGTTTTGTTTTTAACATTTTACATAACAGTTTTCAATAATGAAAATAATGAAAGCACAATTACACTCAAAATGCACAAATTAACAAAGAGAAAAGCAACACTCCCGCCGAATATAGATATTAGTTTTATTATTTCTCGTAATGGAGTCGTACGTTTGTATTTTTGCCGATGTCATGTATTATTAATTTATACTTTATAACAATTTCTTCAAAAACTTTTTCATATTAGGTTGATGCGTCACATTGCAAAGTTTTTGGAAAAACAGACATTCGATGACGATAGCATCTTAAGGCGCCTAAACAGAAACAATAATTTTAGGTACACATTACGATCGCAGCACTTGTTCCATCGTGCCCATTAATACATAGTTCGCATGCGCAGACTCAAAATACACAAAATCGCACCACTTCTACGTATCAACGTCTCGTCGTATCGTATGACGTCAAGTTCCCACCAAAACTCCTCCAAATCTCTTGAAATTACATTTTATCGTTCATATTCCATATAAATAGGCAAAGGTCTATAGGTCGTACAGCCATTTGAAAAATTCATGCGTTAACATAATGCACTTTTTAGTTTACGTTTCAGTTACAGGATCATAATATAAATTATTATATTATGTAATATGGTTATAATCTGGTAACAGTATTATATATTTTATTATATTAAGTCTACATAAAATATATATAGAATTGATTTCTATGGTACTTATATACCTAGTACAGTACATACCAATGACTTTTTTTTTTAGTTCAATAACAGCATTATCGATCTTTAAAAAAACATGTTTTTAAATTAAACTGCTAAAAATAATAAAGGTAATATCATATTCTTTAATATTTTTAATAATAAATTTGAGAGCTTGTTCAATAGTTACATACAGGCAGGCTGTTAGTATTGGAAACATAGACAGCATTTATGCATGCCCTAGCCATATTCAAATCGCATAGGAATTACCTTCTCTAGTTTATTGTTAATTTATTTTAAGACTAAAATTGATAATTCTACTGATGACATAATTCTTTTATTTAATTTCTTTTAGTTTAATTTTGCATACAACGCTACTGTGATCTTGATCTATTATTAGAATATTCAGTTTATAGATCTTGATTTCAAATGCTGTTTGCATTTTTTGTTTAGTTAAAAATTAAATTTATTTATTCGTATAGTTCTTATATAAACAACCAAATAATTGTGATTAATGATAACCGTTTGGTTAAAGCCAAGCGTTAATGGGTAATTAACATTAAAATATATTATGAAAAAAGACAATTTTTCTCGATATGTTTATTATACGTGATAGTTATGAAATAGAAATTTTGAAATAATGAAACTGGCTTATGTATTATTTTTTTTTTGTAAATATTACAAATATTCCAACTAGTTTTAGTCAATTGTATAATATCACTAGTGTAGAGATGTATGTAATTCTAATGTATTTAATTTTTTTTATTGGAAACCGTTTTTGAGAGTTGGCGTGAGAAGTCGCTTAGGGACGATTATATTAATGTTACGCTTTCTAACTCTTAGATCTTTTTTTAACGTCTCGACAATTTAAAATGCAGTAACCAGTGCATAGAAATGTAATTGTTATTTTATAAATTGAATTTACTACTATTCCAGTCGCCACTTAAATATCTAAGACAGCCTCCACACTTGCTTTCGGAGGCGAATGTTTAAAAGATTTACTGTATTTGTTGTAAACAATATTACAAAGACAACAACATAACTTATTAACTTGCCGATCAACACAATGTCAAATAGGCATGTGATGTTATAAAATATGCGCACGTAAAGATTATACATCGGGCCTTCGAAAGAGTAACTGCTACAATTTCTAGCCTTAAATTTGTAGTACGTTGTCCTATTACAAGTCGCGGCACGTATGTCTAGCGTTGAACGAAACGTGGAGCGGACGCCCACGAATTGAATTGCACTAGTACAACTGAAGAGCCAATCAGCGCGTGCGAACGACACGCACGAGCTAATCAGCGCGACTTATGCGGAATAACGGTCACCGTTAAACCGTCGTTCGACTACGACGTCTTCTCGCTGACTTCTCAGTCATACCATTTTTTAAAAGTTTAGTTAAATGCATCCATAGAGTTAAAATCTGTATTCTATAAAAATATCGATTTGGTATATTATCGATTTATCTCTTTCTAAAGCTTGATGTATATATTATTTACGGCCGGATGCTGCACTATGCGATTCAAATTATAATAGGACTGACTTCATAGCTATATTGTGATATCAGAGCTGTCACATCAAACCAGTTAGGTAGGCTGAGCAAAATAGATATTGTTGAAAAAATATTTATTTACAAAAGAACCATAAACGAAGAAGTATTAATATGAATCTAGCACTTCAATATCGCTCATCTCTGCATCACTGTCTGAGTAGGCACCATTGTCATCGATATCATCACTGCTGCTTATCCCTTATAAAATAGAACATGATATGGTATTTAAAATATTCCACCGACTAGTATCAATATTTTAAATGAATTTATATAAATATTTATGAGTTCATTAGATTTGGGTAATGATTAACACTCAGTTAAATAAAGCGGGGAAAAAAACGTTATTAATACACAAATAAATTTTCTTTGCAAACCGTACTTTTCAAGTGACAGATCATTGACGTTCCTATTCTTATTTGAATCGCATTGTACAATAAATTCTTGTCTGAGCGCCAAAATCATGACAGGGCTTATTAAACCCATAATTGTTTTTCATGGATTTCTGGCAAAATAAGTAACGACTCTTTTTGTTGGAAATACATAGATGGATGGTTATATCGTAAAATCGATGCCTTTATTGTATTTACTTATATTACTGGAATTGAGAAAGTTATTGCAACAAATCCTAGATTTTATTGTTATTGATTTTTTTTTAAAACATATACTTTCAGAACGATGTCCTTAGAAATGTATGCTCCGATGTCAAAGCGACATTAAGAAAATATTATTTGTCTAAAACTTGCTGATGTAGCTTTTTAACCTTTTTTCCAGTTATTGCGTTTGTAAAAAATGGACTGTATTGCTTTGAGTAATCCTTTTTATTTATACCATCCCTAATAAACATTTATTTTCTAGTTTCGTTTTTT